CCTTCGAAGACCAGCAATTCCTGCCACCTCTCCCTTCCAGCAAGCTGTAGGAGCTCCTTGCCACGCTTTGGGGAGTTGAGCGACCACTCCTCCCCAAACAAACATGATACCTATGCCGCTGCGAAGTTGAAGAACATCTTCAGAAACTCCATTTTTTTAGTCGCTACCAAGTCACATTCATTTAAGACCAAAACCAGGTACACTCACTCTACATGGCCACCCCCTCGCTGTATCCTCTACCTGGAGCGAGCCGCTAGACATGTCACAAAGCTGTCGCGCGACCGCGCGGTCGACTGGGAATTCCATCGCGTCTCGAGGTCAGACCTCGGTCTCGGGGCGGTTCCAAGAGCAGTTGAGCGGCGGCTGAAGCAGAACTGCGGACGACGGCGGGCAAGAGGGAGGGCGAGGGAGCGGGTCCTTGAGAGGGGTGCCAAGAGGTTTTCGGGCATGTCGTGAATCCAGGAAATTAGATCCATTCTGTTCTGTAGTGACCCCCAAATAGATCGAAATGGTTTGGGATCTTCCCATTCAGTTCAAACATGTGGGGCATGAGCACTGGTTCTTCCGTATGATGGTTGATCCATCCACAGACCTTTCAATGGATCGTTTTGGAGCTTGGAGTCAACATGGCTTTTTCTGCTGCGATTTGGGCGTCAGAAGTTCACTTTTTGCCTCGTGTGAAAGCTTGGGTAACTGGCAAGATCAAGTGGTTGAGGTTCAAAAGTCTTTATTCTGCTGGTGCCGATGCAGAGAACATCAACAAACCACTGTAACAACCACAAGATGGGTCTTTGAGATCGATAGTTGGGTGGCCACATTGCTCAGCTGCGAGTTTTTTTGGGGCCGTGACCAACCTCCTGACGCGACAGCCGCAATCTCTTGGGGACCGTGCCTTTGCATGCGCGTCCCCACCCATTTTTGGACCAGTCGGCTGGGAAGAAGACACACCCTGGCGGGCTCCGGCTTGGAGCTGAGGGGAGTGCGTGCGTTTTGGGAGTAGATACTGTAATTCCATCAAGCATTTCTCAAGATAGCAAGCAGCGTAAAGATGTATCAGGGGGTGCATGGACATTTACTGGGCTTGTCTGAGTGTGCTGTTGGGTCCCAAGTAATGGTTCAAGGGTTTTCTTTGACACCATTTTATGAGAGAAGATCAATTGCCCTGCCAACAGCACGAGTCGGCCCACGTCCCGATCGCTGACTTGGTCTCCCCTCCGAGTCGGAGGGCTTTTAGTGAAGACAGGCTGCAGAAGACAGCAGAGGGCAGGTAGCTCTGAAAGGATTGCGGCATCCAAGGAAGGAATCGGCTGTGTTCGATGCCGGGCCCCAATTTTGGGCACAAGTTACAATGTCCAGAGAGTGTACGCAGTGTACAACGTCCAGAGTGCACGATTTCCCTCGAAGATTCACACCTGTCCTCCCATCTCCATGCCTGCGTCAGCAACAACAGGCGTTCTTTTCAACGTCGGCTTCCCAGTTTAGTGATCAGAGGTATCTTCAAAAAGCACTTAACACCGGGCCTAACCCATGAATACTTGCTTCGTGTCAAATGACACGCCTCTCGCTCTTCTTCACCTCTGGGGGTTTGCGCACTCATTGGCCGAATTCGCCCCATGTTTTCTGGCGTCCCGACCCCAGCTCTTGAGAAAGGATGTCAGATGTTCCGAAGAATACCACCGAGCTGGGCTCCATGTGTTTTGGTCTTTTGGGCGAGACATGAACAACTCGTCTTGCTCTCAGCTTAGGACCATGTACAAATAGGTACCAATTTCATGTGTGTTTGGTATCTGGTTCAGTTTTGCTTCCAGGCACCAAGAAGCATCAGCTGTAACTACCGCCTGCAGTGAGTCCTGAGTCTTGAGTCCGAGCAGTTCGCAGTTCGCAGTCTTTCAGAGCTCCAGTGCTTCGGGGCTGTTGGAAGACGCAGTTTCCCGAGGATGGATGATCTCGAGTTAAAAAGCCAACAGGGGGGGTTGAAGAACCCTATAGTCTATCTGATAGGGACATACTGGTACCTCATGGTGACGGGTCCTATTTCAGGTCACTTACAGTAACCTCTCTCGGGGTGTGGAAGGTGACAGAGAGCTGGTACAGGATAGGGCAAAGAGGAAAGCTGCTAGGCAATCCGTGGGGAGCACGGCGAAAACACCATTGACAGGCACGCATCATCGATGATTTATACTGTTGGTCCGCAGCAAGCGGTTCCCCCAAGGGACGTGTTTCAAGATCATCCGCGCGCGCTCTGGATACAGACAGCCGATGTCAAAAATGCTCTTGAGCTTCGATTTGTTATTGAGCTGTTAGGCCTGACAGGGATGTTGCTTTGATGTGTAGGGATTGAATTTGGATTTCCACACCTTGTTGTGCTACCGTTCCCACACCGCACTGTTTGTTTGTGCATCGGCTCCCAAACCTTCCCAACAAATGCTATATTATATACTATATACTGTGGTCCGTGTAGAAGACCAGACCACTTTTGTCATATGCTGCGTGGCGTCCCAACAAATGCTCTACTGACAGGGAATGATGGCCAATTCCAGGAGAACGGGGTTCCAAAACGAGCACGGCCTCTTCGCAGAGAATTGCGGAGCACAGCCAGCTTGGGCTGACACATGCTGCAAGTTTTACCGGGCGTCTTCAGCTTTTCTGTGGTTGAAGAGATCCAGGTCTTCCCAGATTCTTTGGGCTAAGACTCAGAGCGAATTTTGGGGCGTTTCTGATCTGATCTGACCCGCCTTACGTGACCAGTTACGTCTCAGGTACCCGCAGGGTGGCGGTCAATACATCGCACCAGGGTGAGCCGGGATGTGAAGCGGCCATCGGCCGTGCGTTTCAGAGTCAGAGGAGGTCAGAGGCTGCTGGTCAAACGCCTGCTGTGTCAGAAATTTCTTTCATTGGATGGACTACCTACCTGTGAAGTTGAAGTACTTATAGATTTGACATCGTTTTTGACACTGGAGCATAGCTGGGAATTGGAATCTGTGAAACCCTATCACTTCTACTGTTTTTTGCCGCATCGCCGGCCTTGTGGCACCTTCTAAACTCTGAAGACTTCCATAAATTCACGTCAAGCAGCCTCCTGCCGCCAATGGAGGTACAGCAACCAGGCCTACCCGGTGTTCCAGGGCGGTCACGAGCCCAGGCCCCTCAGTCGGACATGGTTCACCAGGACAGTCACCACGGAAAAAGAAGACGAAAATCGCCTCGAGAGGAAAAGGCCTTGTGGCCATCTGGCCATGTTCACAGAGGGAGGAGTAGGTTTTCGGTGGTTTGGGCATTCTCTTTGGTGGGCTCCCGGTTCGAAGACACATGTGTCCATGATTGCCTGGGAGGGACAGAGTCGGGTTCAGTCGCTGTTGCCACCATTTTATACTTCCAGCTCTATACATAGTGGTGGCGAGTCCAAGCAGAAGACCTAACGGCGGAACCGCCTAGACACCCAGCCAGTGCTGATGGAGACCGCCAGGTTCCCGGGTGGCACGGGTTACGCCACTCCGTGCCTCGGATTGAAGAACTTGACTGTCAAGTTAGATAGCCATTTCGCAAGTCTCTGCTTTGCATGCAACGTGTTCCATTTTGTTATTTTTTGACTTGAGCTTCCAAGATCAGCAAGACTCTTGCAGTGTTTTCTTCACCCTGACACTGGCCTCACATCTTTTGTTTGATATATGATATGTGGATATATGTGGATTATTGTTGGTTTTTCTTTGCTTACCACACGAGTCGGAGTCCATCAACCCCCTTGTCCCCATCACAAGTCCAGTCATTTTCGGTGGGTGGCTTCAGGTTCACCAACGCTGTGCAGTGCTCGGGGTCCAATCCCGTCCGGGCGACCCGGTAAAAAACGGGACGTGCGACCCAGCGGCCAGCGGCTATGGTGAGCGGCGACCACGCGCGGGTCAAGCGGAGCGGCTCAGGAACTGGCGGGTGATTATCAAGAGCTCTTCAAGTTCATCATCATTGGAGATGAGGCTGCACAACTGGATGTTGGGCGTTTTACAGGAATGTAGGTCTCAGCAGCCCACCATTTGTTTGGGGTTTAGACGCCTTCAAGAGGAGAAACACATATCAAGGATTCTCACCTATCTCACCCTACGTTCCGCTCCTTCTTTGCTTCGCGTGTTTTCGATCCGCACCGGGTGCAGACCAGGCTGTTGGCAAGACCTGCTTGTTGCTGCAGTTCACAGACAAGAGGCAAGGACGCAATGACTTGTACAAGTCTGACAGTCAGGAGCAGCAATCGGAAGATCTTTCATCACCTGAGGTCCTGGTGTTGAGTGGTGTTGAGTGGTGCTTGGTCCAATTGAAGCCTTCAAAGTCACATGCGCAGCTCTTCAGCTGGTCAGTTCTGGGCTTTCCACGCTCGTGCCAGGTATCGCACAACCCATCAGGCCGTTCGACGCGGTGTGTGGCGGAGGATGGTCAGACCCGTTCGGAACGGCTGACGTTGGGGAGAGGTAAACAAGAGAAGTTTCTGCCATTGGGGTGGCCGGGCTGCTAGTTTGTCAACCGCAGAAGGCGAATGGCACAGACGCTTTTGCAAGATAGACACAATGCACCACAGACGAATTGCCCAGCGAAGACGAAGACGAATTCCCCACCGCAGACAAATTACCCAGAGAAGACGAATTCCGCAGACGTCTATTCAATCAGGCCTACCAAGATTAAAGAGTTTCTCACAAAGGATTTTGAAGTCAAAATGGCTCTGAGTAAGCATTGCTGAGTCTCAATTGCTTTCAACGGTGAGTTATATACAGCGCTATCAGGCCCAGTAAGTAAGGAACTAGTCTTCGCTTAGGTGAAGCAACCCTTAGCTTTCAATTATCCATCTCACAACCCTTCGCCCCCTATCGGGCCGTGATACTCACGGCCGCTCGAGGTCGCCCGGTAGAAAGAGACGCGGGCGTGTATGTGTGCACGGTGTTCCACCGCCATACCCATCAGGTGGAGATTTACTCCCTGACTCTGTGCTCTCTTCTGATGATTCTTCGTCGTCTTCCTTCTCTGAGCTGTTCTCTGTGTCTTCCCCCCCCGGAGACCAGCCACATGAAACCAAGTTCTGTGCAGCTGTGCCGCCCTTTTCAGGGTCCAGTGAACAGGGATAAGCCGGACTTTAAGTTAGCTGGAGGGGAACGGAAGGACATGTGAGTTTCGAACATCCTAAAGGTGGTATTTTGATGTACAGTATATTGGGGCTCTCTGGGCAAATGACCCTCATTTGCGTACACATTCGTGTGTCAAGAATTCTTGCTCCATAGAACCGGAACTTGTGCCATTGAGTCTAGGCGCAAAAGGCAGACACTGCAAGAAGATTGCTTGTGATACGATGGACAATGGTCCTTGGATGACTTGCAGTTTGTCCTTGGATGACTCCCTTTGGTGACTTCAGTGTATGATGAATGCACGGCACATCACGGCACAATGGGCCATGGAAGCCAGAACAATCCCAAACACAAATAGGCTTGGTAAACCCTGTCCAGGTCGCATGTTCCCGCGGATATGTACCATACACACATCAACTCTCGCCTGCTTGTGTCCTCTTCTTGTCCTGCGCTTGCAGTTGTTCCGCTGTTGTCCTCTGGCCGCGCTGGCCAACGCTCCTGGTGTCCTCCTCTTGTCCTCCTGGCAAGCCTGGTCCTCCTTTTGTCCTCCTGGTTTCCTTCCTCCATTTGTCCTGCTGGTGTCCTCTTCTTGTCCTCCGGGTGTCCTCATCTTGTCCTCAAGCCTTGTCCTCCTGCTGTTCTTTGGCCGCGCTGGCAAGCCCTGTGTCCGCTGCTTGGCCACGCCGATCATGGACCAATTCCGCGCAGATTGAGGACATTCTGGGATTGCGGACCCAAAATCTTGAACGTTGAAAAACGAAGGGAAACAAGTAAAACTCCTGGTGTTCTTTACGCTCAATGTTTTGGTTTCTCTAGTGGACATGCACGGTGTTTGTTGCGTCTTAAGACCATGTGTCAATGATCCCAAGTGAGCCAGGCTCATCGATCATCCATAATTTAAACCGCCGTTGGTTAATCCCCCATCAATCCAGATGTTCATAGTCGGCAACTTGGGTCCAGGGCAATGGTATGAAACCGAGGTGGGTGGAGGAGTTTGACAGAATGTCCCGTCAGTGCCCAATATCTGTCGTCAGCGAATCTGTCGTCAGAATGTGTCGTTAGCGTCCGTACCTCATTTGTCGTCAAGGAACCTGTCAGCGTGTTGGTGTCATCAGATCCTCGTCAGAGTGCCGCGGAACTGGTCAGACGACCTGTTTCGTCAGCGTCTTTACGTCATCAGTTCCTAATCTTTCGCCATAGAATCAGTCGTCAAATCTGTCGTGGCCAGTCCAACTATTGGACAATGTGTCGTCAGCGTCCTATCACACCCCCGTGAGCGACCACTCTGGCAGCTACAACATGTGGGCAACTGCAATTTGTGTGTGATTGAGATTCGGATAGGTGTGGGGGTTCCGGAAGTCTTTGGAGGTCAGCAGAGGAGCGCAAGGTGCTGTGAGCACTGCATCACAAACTAGATGCAGGAGGTGGAACATAGCCCTCATGCACACTGTGGCAGCTCAGTAGCGGCACCCAGCAAAAGATGCACAGCTTATACATGAGGACATGCACAAGGTGGTTGGACAACATTTCGGGGTCATGAATGAGGGTTGAACAAGCATCCGTTTGCAAACTATTCTTTGATGTTCACTTGTCACTTGGACTATATAAATAGGACTTGCCGCCTTAGGCTTGAAAACCAAGTCGCTGGTGCCACTCGTCATTTGCTGTTGCTGCTGCAGTTCGCTGCAGTTCTGGTTCGAAAGATGATCAAACAACCGGTCGATGATGTGGATACCAAGTCGCCTCAGGCCGGTTGCAGGTTTTGCTTGGAAGAAGAACCTGGATGGTTTCAATCCGGAGGTGTCTCACAAAGACACATGTAGTCTCCATGGTGTGCCTCCTCTCCCTTCCCCTTCTTTCCTGAGATTGTCAGCAGAAAACCATCTCTGGCCATGGCTTACCCCGCGACCCACCCGCAGACGGCGGGCGGCCTCAGTGCAAGTGGTTTCCGTCAGCTGCCAACGTCAGATCTCGACCTTGTGACCCGTTGCCGTCGCACCCGTTCCCCCCAGAACAGGTCCAAGTAAAATTTAAGTCTGACTTCTTCGCCCGGGACTTCGCGCTGACTGTACTCCACGGGACCAGCAATGCTCGTTTTGTTCCCGAAAAAAGAAGAGCCGTGGCGCTTTGGAGAAGGCTCCGCTTCCCTCGCCCCCACGTCTTCGGCCCGCTTCGGACCCGAAGACGGACGACCTCACCCACCGAGGCCAAGGTGGGCGGCCACGAGGAGGCCGAAGCGCACCTGGGACGACTCCACGAAGCGCCCCTCGGTGACGGAAGGGGCGGACGGAAGGGGCGGAGGAAGGGTTTTTTTGGAGTTGGTAGGACGGAACCTGGTGGTTGACCCCTGAAACATCCTGAAAAGGAAGGTGCATCTGGAGCAAGTGGAGTAAGACTTTTGAGAATCTGGACATTTTGTGTTTGGTCTTTGCAAAGTAATTAGCGCACTCGTTGTTCCCGAGTATTTTGCGATATAATGCGATATATATATATATACACATACACACACACACATACATATCAAGGTCAAGGTTTATCACCGAAAGGAGACATCTCACTCGTGGCTTGCAAATCAAGTTCGATCTTGAATGGGACCGCGCAGAATTCAGACTTCCAAAACAAGTGCCAGGCCGGCCCAAGAACTAGGGTTTCTTTTTCGTCATTCATTTGGAAGTCCTATAGGTCTAGAATTTGTTCATCAGACTTGGACTTGGATCAATCATCTCCTAACCTGTGGTAAGCAGCCGCCCTGCCACCTCGTTCCGAGCGACGCCCCTGGTCGTTCAGAGGAAGAGAAAAGACCCTGCGGTCGGTCCCGGAGGTGACGAAAAAAGACACCTTCAAACCAAAGGATCCGAGGTTGTTATCGAGGTTTGGAGTTCTGTTGTAATGCTCCTAGATTCATTTTCTCAAGAAGGAATTGTCTGGAGTCTCACCTTGGATGGAGTGGAATTTCAGGTCCTTCCATCCCTGGAATCTCGTGGCATCTTTGACAACTCGCGAACCGCGGTCCGTGTCCACGGTCGCGTGGCTGCGACCCCAAACTGGCCGAAGCAAACCGTCGTCCCAACCCACCGAGGAGCACCACCTTCCTGCTCTGCGATGTGCAAGAGAAGTTCCGGCCCGTGATCGATCAAATGCCACTCGAAACCGTTCAAAAACAGCCGCAAAAACGAAGGAGACGAGGAAACGGAGTGGGGTGGTGAGACATCAGCATCCCATCAGCATCGAGGCTATTTCTCAGGGCTCCGAAAAAGGCTCCGAACACGCCCAGGGCGGCTGGTTTTCGGTGCGGGGCCGTTCCCGGCTCAACTGGCTGCGCTGAGGTCTCAGGTGATTTTGGCCTCCAAGGCGATGCTGGAGGCTGCGAAGGTCATGTCCATTCCGGTGATCGTCACGGAGAGACCGGGGAGAGCGGGGAATGGAAGGCATTGCGGCAAGGAGACCAGCGTGGTTTTAAGGGTTTGCAGTGGGGGAGGCTGAAACACATTTGCTACATGGACCAGGGGAAGGAAAAGACCAGTGAGACATTATGTTCCCCTGAATCCTCAAGTCGAAAATCAACCAGAGCCAGAGGCTAAGCGCTCGCACGCTTACAGTGGATCAAAGCTCTGAGATTGGGTGTGATATGTCTTCTATGAAGAAGCTTTCGATGAAGAAGCCACCACGAGCATACACCTGGGAGTAACATGGAGCCTGAGAATGGCTACAACCCAGTCGTTTTCAGGTTCCATGCGAGTCTCTTCCGGGGTGTCAGATATCAACATATCGAGGAGCCCTGCAGGTCCACCTGGGTGCTTCATGTTGGGCAAAGGCGCGGACTCGAACATCAAAACGTATTGTTTGTTTGTGCCTTTGAAGGCCAACCAGAAACGGATCCGCATTGCTCCTGTGGGGGGGGGGGGGGCAGACCTGGTGGTCGGAATGAATGTGAGATGTCCTTCGCCATCGCTGGTGAGGAAGAAGCCTACACAGCAACCTTCTCGCACATTCCTTGGGGTGGCCAGGAGCAGTATCCCAAAGCTCTTGGCCACACAGTGGAGGAGCTTGACATTTCTCAGGTGAGCTGTGGTGTCTTACCGCAAGTTCCACCCAAAGCACAACCTTCAGTCACTCCCGCAAGAGCAAGTTTGTGTCAGATGGACCCAGCAAACTCACTTCCATGAATGCACAAGACTTGAGCGGGATCAGAAGCAGCATACAGTTTTGTAGTTTTGCCCATCTTTTTTGGTGTATCATTCTAAGAACTTGGCAAACACACCAGTGTATCATACACCCAGAAATCAGTCCTGGACTCAGCAGTGTATCATTGCGCCAAACAAACGAAACAGAAAACGCTCCAAAACGGTCCTCGTCTTCGCGCCCCCACACCGGCCGTGCAGGCCAAAGTCTTTGAGCCTCTTGGCCTGAACATGGGGGAGCCGGATCGGTTTGATCGGTTCATGTTCCGAGGAGTAGCGGAGTAGCGGATCGGTTGCCCATGGCAATTTGTGGCAAAGCACTTTCTTACTTATGCCTTCTCTTTGATTCTCTTTGTACAAAGCGCAAATTTGAACCTACTTGAAACATATTTGAGTTGTTTTGGACCTACTTTCAGTGACATGTCATATACGTATCTCTTACATTCTGATGCGATGTTTTTTCTAGTTGCTTTCATGCTGTTGGCATGAAAATACAGATTCGAAAAAGAACGAACTTCGTCTTCGGGGTTGGGCCGCTCGCTTCGGCCCCCAGCGGACGAATTTCTGATCTTAGGAAGACCAACTTTTCCATGTGCACGCACGAGTTTTTGCAGTACTTCGTTGGGCTCCAACGGAAGGCGCGCTCGGCGCGCGTGCGCGCCGACAAGCTGGGGTTTGGGCGCCCGCCCGTGGGTTTGGGCGGTGTGAGCTGGAGAGTGACGGTGGGAGCTGGAGAAAGAACGTCGGTGGTTGACGTTTTTGTACTCTTTCCATTTTCTGCCTTCCACTGGTGTAGACTCTCCAGTGGAAGGGCGAACAAACTTGCTTCCGGCCAGATGGTAGATGGCTGGGTGGGCTCGTGTTAGGGAGAGGCAGAGGTGTGAGAAGGTGGCTTGCAGGAGTGTCCAACAGTTGAGAAGCACCCAAGTAGTGCTGTTAAGTGGAGACACGAGGAGACCAAACCCGTAGATTCGCAATACAAATCAAGCCGGTTCGTCCTAAAAGACCTCCCCCGGTTCGCGCCAAGTCGGCTTTGGTCTTTTGGCTTTGATGGGGGAATGAAGGAAAAACCCACCGGGTCTGGACTTTCGGCCACGCGGCGAGGATGTGGTGATCTTCGGCGTGGAGACCCACGTCTGTGTGCAGCAGACGGCCTTGGATCTCACGAGCCGAGGCATCCAGGTGCGCCCGCGACGGAGAGACGCGACGGGGCGCGACGGAGAACGGCGACGGAGCTCCACGGTGTTTTTTTGGGGGGCACGGGTGTGGAGTCGAGAAAAGACATAGAACACGTTTTCGTGATTCAGATTTGATCGACCAGATCAGGTTTGAAGGAGTTTGGATCATGAAGTTTGGATCATTAGTGTCCATTTGTTTGCTACAATCCACTGGTCTTGGATCGGGACACTAACTCCTTTAGCTTGAACATCCAACTGCAGGCCACGAACCTTTGGAATACCCCCAAATCAAGCTCCTCTTCCTTGCGACTGCTCCCACCTGGCCACACTCTCCACCAGCTCCTCTTCCCGCCACGCTCCGGGTCCACGCCGGGTCCACGACAGGTGCACGTGATCGCCGATGGCTGCTCCTCGCAGCGCACCTTGGATCGCCAGGTGGCCTTCGACCGGCTGCGCCAGGCGGAGACACAACGACGCGGGTTTTGGTTGGGCGCGCGAGGAACCAAGGGGGGGTGGCAGATGTGGTGTGTCCAGTAGTGAGGGTTTAGAGGCGTTGGACGTTGAAGGAGTTGGGTGAAAGACTTAGGTGACCCATTTGTAGAACTTGTTCAATGTTAAAGAAGGCAGGCCTTGGTCCCTGGTGGGTAGCCCATGCACACAGATGCCCAGAATGCTGTGAGCCAACGCACAATGCATTGGACACTGTGTAGAAAATTCGTTGACGTGCGTCAACTGCTATTCTATCCAAGATGGAGCAACCACGAGTCAGGCTGGATGCTACGTGACCACTATGGAATCGGTGCTTTTTGAGCTGCTTCGAAGCAAAGATGCGCCGCTTGGCTGAAGAGATGCGTGGTCGTGTGATGGCTGGGTAAGGAAGTCCTGATGAGAGTCCGGTGATTCCTGTTTAGTCTAGCAACAGTGTGCTCCATGTTTGGGTCCGCCGATTGCATACAGGAGGCGCGTAGCGTTTTTTAGATGTCTGACAAGATTGATACTATCGGAGTCACATGAAGTTGGGTGGTGGTGTGAAACGTCCCATCCAGTGAGATGTGACATGTTCTGGGCACCCCGTCTTCCTCCATGGATCGCACCCCTAACCTTTGTGACCAGCAGTCGTACAGCGACCTCTTCCTGCCACGTCGGTCCACGATGAGAGTCGAGACAGCGGCAGCTTTCGGGCACCGGGTGACTCGTCTCCTTGTTGTGGAACGAGACGTGGGCACCCTGTAAAATCCTTCGTTCGTCGCGAACCAAACATCTCAAAACCTTTGCATCTCAGCAACGAACGGAAGAAGCACCAAGGCCAGAGTTCAAAGCCATCTCTGGGATCGTGAAGGCGTATGGCGAGAGTCTGAAAAAGCTCGTCCATGAGGCGCGGACCGCGCGGGGCCCTGCACTCTCTGGGTGCGCCAAAAGCGCCCTGCGGGCTGGTCCTCCCTGGCCCTTCCTGGTATGCCAAAGCCGAAGTCATTTTCGATCCAGTCCATTAGAGCCAGTCCATTAGACTCCGAGATCCTTCGTCTCTGGCCCATGTTTTTTCTTTCGAACCTTTCATCAGTGCCAGTTTAGGGGGATGGCCCAGTCCCGCTTGGCAGCAATGGTTCAACCTGGCCCCACCTGGCCGAATGCCAAGGACTCCGGTCAACCTAGGTCGACGTTGCTTTGGGGGACGACCCTCACCGGTTGAAAAGGCAACCCCCTTGGGCAACTCGGAATCCCCCCCGTGTCTCCTTGGTGCACCGACTCGGTTGTTTGAAGCTTCCCGGTACGAACCGCCTCATCCCGGTCCCGCCTCATCGGAGGCGGTGCTTTGAGTGGAGCTCAGCGCATCACTTTGGGAGAAAGCGGAGCGGCGCTGCGTGCTTTCTGCGTGCATTTTTGCGGTCAACGATGGTCCAAGGATTCTTTTGGAACCGGTAGTGGGTGGAATTCAGAAAGACCTTGTGTTGCAGATTCGCGAAAACTGACAGGGGGCAGCAGGGAGGAACGTGTTGAAGATTCATTCACGGGATGCTAAATGCAATGTTAGTTAGCACATGAGTTCTTCAGGTGGTCTCCTTTCATCTCCTTTCTTCAAAGACCTTCAGAGTATACTTCCTAGTCTTAGTACTTCATCTTCTTTTTTGGGATAGTTCGAGCATGTTCGAAGACCCCGAAAAGCCGGCCCCTTCACGTCCGGATGCAGCGCAGGTGACCGTTGGTGTGGAGTTTGGCTCCCGCACGGTCGAGGTGGCGGGGTCCGGAGGCCCATATTTTCGGTGTGTAAGATGAGAGGTTTTGCTGAGGTGGCTTTTGTGAGGGCTCCTTTCTGTTCTTTAGATGGTGTTTGGTGGGAGAGGTCCGACATCATTTTGATGTCCCCTCCAAAGTGATCTGGAACGAAGGGTTTATGGCCAATGACCGTGATTCTTCTGCTACGAGCCCCACTCCCTAAAGCCATCATGACCGTGATTATCATGACCCGTTGGATGACTTTTCCAGGGGCTTTCCATTTCCATGATTCTTTCAGGGAAGGAGGGTGGATTCTGCTCCTCCCAGGTGCCGCGTCAAGCTGCAATGCTGGGATACAGCCGGCCAGGAGCGAGCGGAGATGAGAGACTGAGACTCACGTGGAACGGGATGTTTGGAGCTGCTCTATACGGCGCCGCTGCGTGCAGTCAACGCATATATGTGTTTAAACCTTCTCTGCTACGTGCATAGAAAGCTTCATTCAGCCGGATCCTCACCATTTAACCTCGCAATGGTAGAATCCTCAAAGACACCTAAGTGCAGACTATATTTTCCACCCGACGTGGCAATCACCTAGTTATTTTACCTAATTTTCTAGGTGCCTCGTTAGTACCCCGGAAAGTATATATTATGCTCTATTATGTAACAAACCCATGAATCAAGGGAATCAAGCGATTGGGTGTCCCGTATTGTATTGTTTGTACCACTCTTGAGTTTGCCTTTTTTTGCAAGTGTTCCACACACCAAGATGCGGTCGTTGACTCGGTGTGTGCGGGCCGCGTGTTCGACGGGGGGGGGCCGCCTGTTCGTCCAATCCTCCGCACGAGGACCGCTTTCGGTCCATCATCCGCAGCTACTATCGCGGTGCGGCTGGAATGCTCCTGGTGCCACTGGCTGGTCGTTGCCGATGCACGGACGAGCCCCAGTTTCCCAGTGGACCATGACACTGGCCAGGCCAAAAGAATGGATCGCAAGTTGAGTTAGATAGGTGTAAGATATCCAACAAAAAGGGAAGTGTCCACGCATACAGGGATGACACTTTATACAGTCTAAGTATATCCGCAAGCTCTCGCTGTTGGGTGTACGAAAGCCATTGGGCCCTCTCTGAGAGCCTTCAAAGACACATGTCCAGAGACTCCCGTTGATGAAACTCTTCTCTTTCTGTTTCTTCGGTTTGTTTGCGGCTTGAAGTGTAGCAAGGTAGAACCCGTGGGTGGATGGAAGATGTTTCCTAAAGCAAAGCTGAAGGTGAGAGACAACATTTACATCAGATGCAGTCTTGGTTCCACGACCATGCGGCCATCTGGTTCCACGACAAGGCGGTTGGGACATCGGACATCTCTTGCGGCGCCAGGTCTACGACATTAGTCAGTGCTGTCCTCAGTGGTCTACGACTGAAGGATCCCGAAGAATGAAAGCCCGTTTCAGCAGCTGCACATCTGGGACGGGATGTTTTTCTTGAGGTTCTCATGTGCAAGTCAACATGCCAAAAGCATCTTCAGCAGTTTCCTTCAGACTCTTCCAATCCAAAAACTGATCATATATATAGCTCAAGTCTCCTAGATGTTCAGCTGGGAACATGCCAGTCATGGCTAACATTTTTTTCACTCACATGGTCTCTCCTGGTGGCTCTGCCTCCGGTGCTTTGGCTCGAGCGAACCGATCCGCCGGTCCGATTCCCGGCGCCGGCGATGGGAGTGTGCCTTGGCAGTGGGGAGCGGACGGAGTGAGTCACGAGACGCAGAGAGGAAGCAGAGAGGATCAGTGACTATAAGACTTGAAGAGATGCTACTTTGGAGATTTTTTAGTGCAGTTTTTACGATGTACTTGAGGCTCACTGATACTTGTATCTTGGCCATTCGTTCGTTTAGAGAATTGGTTTGTGGATGATGAGATGGTATGGGGCACGGCTGGATGAGCCTGAAGCTGGATGAGGAATTGGCATTTGGTTGAACTGTTGAGACCTTTTCTTTTACATCCTGGTGCTGCCTGCTGATGGAATCAGGGGCGATGACGACACGGGGGCCGTCTCGCTGCAGCGCTTGCGCGAGACGCCACCGTGGCTCGGCTGGGAGGTCTGGGAGGGGGGTCGCGGGTCGTGGTTGGGTTGCTGGGGACCTGCTGTGAATGGGTTGGGATGCCCAGGGAATTCCGGGAGATCAAGAGAATGTGATTTGAAGATGCCAACGAAGCTTCGGGTTGGTGTGGAAGGTTCACCGAACATCCGACGTATTCTTCTGATGTTTTTCTTGGAATTAACAAGAAGAAGTTGTGTGTTTTCTCGTACAAGGACAGACGTACTCCCCCGCCGCCTCACCGCACCCACCGAGGCCCGGCGTGCCGAACTTCCAGGGCGGCCAGGCCGGAGGGGGACACCGGTCTGTGCTGGTCTCCGGTGTCGGGTGCGGTGAGCCCCTTGGGCCCCGCGGGCTGCGAGACATGACCTTCCGTTTTTTGGACATGGAAAAGCTATACTGACTTTGTACGAAAGAGCGTTAAACTCAGAGACGCGGCAGGGGCGAGACGCGGAGCAAGTTGCGTGGACAGGAGAGAGTGATATTTTTGGTGGATGGTGGCGGTGGCCCAAAATAGAGGTCAAACAGGGTCTAGGTACATGCAGAGGCTCTTTTTGAGGGTTTTTCCACCTGGTCGAGGCGACTGGAGATGATGAGTCCCTAAGCGATAAATCCTTTCCATTGAATGTGCTGATGACAAAGGATTCATGGGATACCTGAGTGACCGATGGGGTTTCTGGACCATCCGGCCCCACAAACCCTCAAAACCAACTTTTTTTCCCCAGCAAAGAGCACGTGTTTTTGTGGGTGAACAACTATATTTTTCATGGGTTTCTGGGCGAATCCCGTACCGATATATGCTGCCAAGGAGTCAGTAGACCGGGGATCTGGTGCGCGCGAAGACTTGGCCACGACGTCACACGAGGATGAGTCGCTCATGGATAGAAGTAGATGCACTCTGGATGAGCCAGTCTCCGAGCGACTTGGCCGTGCACTGAGGGGGTTGAGATGTGCCCTCGTTTCCTTTTGGATGACTCGAGTGGATGGACTTCCCTGATGGACTTGCCTTGGAGCCTTGGAGGGAACTGAACAACTTTTGAGAAAGTCACACAACATCACCTACCAACCAATTACCCAGTGTTCAGGACTGTTTGTTCAAAGAAAAGACTGGAAAGGAACACATACATAGGGTGGGAGAGACTGAAATTTGTGCATGATGAGCTGAGCTTGGCTGCAAGTCTTCTTGATGCTAGTTTCTGTCCGATGGGTGTGAATTAGAATAGGGAGACCCTGGAAGAAGGGAACAGATCACCCCAATGTGGATGATTTGATCAGATTCCAGTTTCATCAGTTTCCTGTTTTGTTGGACCACTGCAAAAACCACGACCGAACTGCCCAAGGACCATCATGAGAGACTTGCGGTCCGTGGCACAAAAGCTGATGCCTGGCGCTCTCAGAGTTTTGAGGGGTCGAACGAGCACGAGCCGAGACTTGGGGCCGTTCGACCAGCCCAAAGATAGCACCCATAGGAAAGCATATTTGAGGGGTCCTATACCATATTATGTATCCCATATATAGGGATTATACACCTAGAACCCATTTGATCCCGATCTCATCGGAAAAGACAGACCATCTCTTTGGGGCTTGGACTTGAAGAAGACATCCAGAAAGCACATAAATATGGGGGGACATCATCTGAAAGAACACCTTTTTTTCCCCAAGTCCAGGTGACTGGACAGTGACGAATTCTCAATGTCTCAATGTCTCATGGACCTTCCCAATGCGGTCCCTGTTGTCCCACCTGTTTGGGGGTCCTAGTGTGGTGAAATCGGACCGCGACCCCGGTTCGGATGGCCTGGTCCGCATGGAAGACGGAGCGCTTTGATTTTTTTGCCGAGGTATGTGATGATGCCCATGAATAGTACAGACCAAGGCGCGGATGAAAGGACCTTTGGAAGGTGGACATTGGACAGGAAGAACTTTGGACACTTTGATTGGTAGATATTTTCAAAGGATTTTCAACGCTTTGTCACCTTCGAACGGTGGATCTTTTCTCCCCAAGCCGTTCCTTTCGCTTCATGCTCCGTCCCCCCAAAAAGGGAACGTGGAGGAACACCAGATGCCTCCCATCGGCTCCCCTCCCTGACAGGGCGTCGGCTGAGAGACTGGGATTTGTGGGGCCCGCTGTTGCTGTGTCTGGCGCTGGGCCTGATCCTCTCGGGACAGGCTGGGAGGGCCAAGGGCCAAGAGGGTCAAAGGCTTTGGGGTGAAACACGGGACGCGCATGAAGAAGGGACAGGACAAAACTGGGGGTGACACCTACAGTCATTCCTACCAACAGAGGTTGAAGAACCATAGACTATTCCAGTCTGGTACCCCAGGTGACGGTCCTATTTACGGTCACTTAACCTTTTTTGTATCAGAGATGGCCTAGACGCTGGCGGGATTCGACGAAGGACACCGCCAGCATGTTGGAGTCACAGAGTTTCTGCACGTCGCACGGAGCACGTGGAGACGATCGTCTCAATGCCTGTCAATGTCTGTGAACAATCCGCAAAGTAACTGCATGGTTGAATTGAGCATTCTTTTTGGGTGCTTGACAGAAAAATTGGTTGATCTGATAATGAGGCTCAACTCTTAGATGGACATGGCATGATCCTTTTCCAGCAACACTTGATAGCTTTTGATCTTCAGAGCTGCTGGCTCGGCACAGGCGGCGGATTCCACACAGGCACACGGGTGGGATAAACGGGGCTGTGTTTGCAAGCAAAGTGTGAGAAACTGCAGCTTTTCCAGGAAAACCAAGAGATTGCAATCGAGATTGTCGGGGATCTCCTAATACTTATGATATACTAATAATACTTCGTTCGAATGACCGTGATCCTGACCACATCGATCCGTCAGCTTAGCGCAAAAAAACGACAGCCCACCTATGCTACGTCCTCCAGGCCAGCTATGCTTTCGCAGACATCTTCGTCACCGTCTGGGTGGGATCGGGTGTGGTGACTCTCAATGCTTTGCTGCTCAGAGGGAAGGCCCGAGACGTGGGGAGGTCAGTCGCAGGGAGGCCAGGATGACCAGTCGTTGAGTCAGTCGTTGACAGTCATGTTGACGGTTGATGAAGATAGGAAGATTCATCTCCCTCCGGAGATGAAGCACCATCCTAGGTGAGTGAAAAGGGGGTTGAGGATCGCAATCGATTCATCAACTCATCCCACACAGGTCCAGGTAACTTGAGGCACTCCTTCGGCAGGGTTCCACACTTGGCAGATCGCAGCGAGAGAGCCAGGTGTCCTTCTTCCAGACGGTTTGCGTGCTGGGCTGCTTGGCCTTGGCAATGCGTCCGGCATCGGAACGGTTTGGAAATTCGGCCTGGCACGTCGTTGCAGCAGGAAGACAGCTTTTTAAAGCTGCAGACGAGCTCAAGAAAGGGGGCAGTTGTGTTTTTTTTGGTGGCTGAAGTGGAATTTGTCAGGGAAAGTTGTTGTTGCTGGATTCTGCTTTCGGGAGAAGACTCTAGTTTTCATTCAGAGTTCAATCATGTGGCTGAAACAAAGAGCTTGCGCTGCTTTCTTCCGGTTTGCTTTGCCGTCCAACGGGTTCGACATCCTAGATCCGACCAGTGACGAAATTCGATCGTTCGTTCGTTTTTTGATGCGGTGCCCACGCGGTATAGGTTTCGTGAAACGAAGATGTAAGGACTGTTGATAGGAGGAGGTTAGAATTGTGAAGCACATTTTCTTGTGGTTCTTGTGGTTCTTGGGTGACGGTGTCTGTCTCTATAAGGTGGACTGGTTGTCTTTCATGATGCTTCCTGCTGGTGTTGGGGGCTGCGGGGTGATACCCTTGCGGTGACTCGTTGGAAGAGAGGACCACGCGGAGTGGTAGCACAGTTGTCTCCACGCGTCTAAGGCTACTGCATCTTCCCTCTGGTGGTCTCAGCATTCTGTGCCATGCTACTGCACATCGATTGGTTGAAGGTGGAAGCCGACCGACCGAGAGTAAACTGACCAACTGCTGTGCAGTAACCAGAGGGGTGAAGAAATACATCAACTATAAGCCTTTTGGAGCCTGCCTATAAGCCAAGCGAGCTGGGGCCAAAACCTCCCATGTAGCAATTTAAAGAGAGGTCAATGTAAGACGCCTTTGCGAAAAGTAAACACACAGTCGCGAAAGATTCGCGGCAGATTTTGTGAACTTTTCATGTGCAAACGCTTGCAAACACGACTTTGCACAGAATGCAGCGCGCGAAAGCCAGCACGCAAGCCGGAAAGTGTTGCGAAAGGAATTTGCACAAAAAGAACTTAGTGACTTTGTAGAACTAATTCTCATTGGGTTTTGGACAACGCTCAAGTGCCCAATCGACTTAAAGATCAACAATGATCAAGCCTCTGATAAGCCCCTAAGCCCCTAAGCGCCTAAAAGAGATTGCACGATAAAAGCATTACAAGCCAACTCAGAAGCGCCCAAACCAGCCCATCAGTGCCAAAGCGCCTGAACCCAGTCCCTAAGTTCCCAGAAGCGCCGAAATCCATCCTGCAAGCAAGCAAGCGCCTTTTCTTAGCGCCCAAACCAGCAGCCCTTGAACAAGCCTTCCTGCCTTGATTGTCCAAGTCGAGGAGGCCTTGCTTGCAATACTGCGTCTTTTGCGGCCTAACACTGTTGAAGAGGCAACAGGCTATCCGCTAGAAGAAGAAGAAGGAGGAGAAGAAGAAGAAGAAGTTCTTCCAAGTAAGTTTGCAGGCATCTGAACAGATTCTTGGACTTGGGAGGATTCTGGAGCGCTGCGAAGTGGATCGTTGAAGTGGGATGGCTGGACAGTGCTCTGTGTCCGTATACCATCGTGATTGATCCAGCCGCCAGCAGTCCAGGTGGCCACTACCGGCCGATGGCCACCGACCCGCCATGCATGCCGAAGCTCCAAGCCACGGAGTTGGTCTATATATAGACCACCCAAACCTGCAAAAGGCGCATGAGCAACAGAAGCTGCCAGTCACTAGCCGCATTCGGCTGCATTCCTTCATCAACCCCTGCTGCCGGCGCGCGCTCTGTGGTTTGATGGTGATGGAGCAATCGAAGCAGACCAGAAAACTCACGATTCCCGGAGCGGACTTGGTTCTGTTCAAGTTCTCACTGCCGGACTCACACCTCCATAAACAAAGGATGGCCGGGTTCTATTGAGGACTTCTCCCAAGTCGCCGAAACGGGTCGTGCCCCAAATCGGTCGTCACCGGGACATCTTCGGCTTCGCGTTTCGCCACCAAAAGCCGCGGCCAGTTGCTGTTCGTCTTGGCGGGCCTGGCCTGGTCAGGGAAGGCCTCCTTGACCTTCGTCACGGAGCTCGTGCCCGAGGTGCGGACTGGAGATGACGGTGTTGATTCTGCGCTACTGTAGACCGAGTGTCGAGTTTGCAGGGAGTCTGCAGGGAGTTTGCAGTTCGGTTGTTTCTATCATCAACCCTTCATCATCGCTGTACACAATACCTTCTAGCTTTATGGCAACTGGTATCTTGAATGGTGTGACATGGTGTGACTGATGCCACAAGCAATCTGATCAGCCCACATGATTGTGCTTTGATTCATAGAGCGTTTGAACTAGTTTGAACAGCATTGCTGGGTCAACGACTCGCAAAGCCCTTCTGAGGACAAGAAACTCTTGGGCATTTATCCAGCAGGGGACCCTGATGGGTCCTGGGAGCAAGTGGATACTTGAGCTGGTTCTCTTTTGGGCATGCGGTGGACCCCATTGCAGAATTCATAAAAAGCATTCTCAAGCAGCACAAGTGCTTGTGCTGTTTCGTGCTTGATCATCACCCAACTTGACCACAGAAAGACCGCGACTGAGGCTGTTGGGGTGTTTCGAGTCCACTCAAACACGTTCAGAATGACCATGTCGATAGCGTTGACTCGACAAGCAACACGCCTGACTCGGCCTGCGGCCTGTGTTGATCGGATGATCCTCCAGGTGTGGCTCTTCTATTGTGCCATCGCGTGGATGATCCTCTTGGCATAGGAAGGGCCAACATGGCCATCGCTGGGGCCGCGGAAAGGCGGCGGCTTTGTCTGGGGCGGTGGGTTTCAGGCCCAGGCAGTGCTTGCTTTCTCAATTTAGTTTTGTTGTACGGGTTTTCTTGTCATTCTTCCACTGAGCTATGTTGAGCAGGGCAGAGAAGGGATGACACTTCCGTGCTCATTTTCTTTGTCTTCGTTAGATTGAGGGACGAACCCGTCGCTCGCACGGCCTGGGCCTGCAGTACCCAGTCTCCCGACGGTCGTGGAGAGATACGGCGATGAGCATCGCCGAGCTAACGAGTGGAGCCATTGGAAGGGCGGAAGGGTCCATGAAAACCATGCAAACCGCTTAAAGCTACGAGAAGCTGTTTATACGGGTCTAAGCTGTTTTCATGGCTTTATGGTTTTCATTGGCTTTTCATTGGTATTCGATAAAGCCATGAAAACCATGAAAAGAACTGGCTGTGCGCAATAGTTGGAAGCCTGTAAAGCCTATGTTTGTGGTTAGTTACAGATCTCAATGAAATGACTACCAGGACTTTTCCAGATAGCCTGACCTGAAAGATTCTTGTGAGGCTGAAGCGTGATGTGCGGTACCAAGGGTATGGCCAAGCTCTTGCGGTGGACTCTCGCCTCCAATGCTCCAGAGATGAAACGAACAGAAAAGGTGCGGAGGTGGACGCTGCGAGCATGGGATCTTGATGGAGGGATTTTTGGTGCAAAAAACCTCGGTGGTCATGGCACAACACCTGTCTTGACGAACTGGGTCCCACAGATCGGTTTCCAAACGAATGTGGATCGGACACGGTCCCTCTTTTCCTTACGGCTTGGAAAGGCTGTTCAAACAACGACTGGCTGGCAGAACTTGTGTATTAAGACAAGGGTGGGTGCTTTCTTGGGTCAAACTTAGTTGGTTCTCATGGTTGGGAGGAGTGGTTCGTTTGGAGAACCAGGAGTCACTCCTCAGGAGTCGTTCGTTTCAGCACCTCTTTCACTCATTTGGTTCCCTTTATCCGCTCTGAACAGAGTTGCGCATGAGGCGGGATAGCTTTGACCACATCCTGCAATGGCCCGGAAACCCGAACCCGTCCACGTCGCCATGTTGCGGACTCTTTTGCCCAGCGGCATCCGAGCAGACCGCTCGAATGAGCACCTTTTGTTGCTTCTCCGAGCTGAATTCCAATAATTCCATGAATTGATCTGACGCTTCAGATTTCTGAATTTTTGGCTGCTTGACGATGACATCTAGGGTAGACTCAAGTAGACTCTTGACTCAGTGATGGCAAGCCACTATACCGCCGCATGTCATTGCCAAGCTGAGCTGTGAGGTTGAAAGAAGCCAAAGACAATGCGGACCCGGACCTTGTGATCACGCTGATTGGCAACAAGGCTGACAAGGCCCGGGGTTCTTGCTCTTTCTTGGCCACAGGCAGAGCAGTGCTCGCACTGTCCTTGTTTCGGGGTGAACAGCCCTGGTCAAGGTGAGTTATACAATGTTATATACTGTTCAATTTTCAAAGTTTCAAGATGTTAGAATTGTTTTGTTTAGATGATGAAGGGTCATTCTGTTGGAACATCTGTGCTATTCGCTTTTGGCTTGGAGACCCAAGCCATAAGGTCTGGATTTTGGATTGCATCATCGTGGAATTCCGGTTGAAAGGGAGCCTGGAGTGATTGAAAGCAGTACTGCTGGTTGGCAGAAGTGCTGGCAGAAATCACAGTAAATGGCAGAAATCACTACATACTTTAAAAACAATGGAACATCAAATCAAATGGATCATCCTCCGTTTTGATACATGACTTCTTCCATCACTCGAAGATCCACAGAGATCCACTTCTTCCCCTGGTCTGACGATGCCGGCCACCTGGTCTGACGACGCTCCAGTGGCTTTTGAACACGCCGGAACCGGAACCCGTGTTCACATTCTTCCAAGGAGCGTGAGAGGCAGGTCCGCTACGACGAAGGCAAGATGTTGGCGAGAAGCCATGGCCCGGATCCTCATGATAAAAAGCTTCTAGGGTGAACAAGGAAGGGCCAGGAAACGAGCCACGGATCAAGAGGAAGGAACTTCTACAAAAGCAGTGAATCAACGGAGCGGGATTGAACGAAGGAACGACCGACGGAGCGACCGAAGGGGATTTCGACCAATTTGGTGGTGACCAAGTGAGTGGAGATCGTTTCGGGCTGCATGGCCATGGCAGCTTTTTCAGAAATTCTGCCTTAGTATCCCTCATTTTTCAATAGACTGCTAAGGGAAAAATGAGGGTAGCACCAGCTATGTGTGTTGATCAAACCACGCTAAAAACGCCCGGCTGCCCGGCCCCCTCAAAGCGAGGTCTTCTTTTCATGGAAACCTCTGCTGTGACCGGCCAGTCCGTCGACGATGCGTCCTGGCAGTGAGAAAAGCGTGGGTGAGGGGGAGGTGTCAAATGTTGGGGGTGCTTGAGCAGTTGAGCAGTGGGTGTGATGGATGCACCAGAACCCTCGAGACACAGGGACGATGAAGGATGCTGAGTACCAAAGCCTGCCACACCTCTCTTCCCGTTTTCAGCACTGCGCAGGAAGAAGTCGCGCAGCGCATTTTCTCTGAGGCCTTTTTGTCTACGGCAAAGCACGTGCTGGTCAAGCAGCAGAAGCGGCATCAGGCATCGATGCACGCCCACGGAACACCGGACACTCCGCACTGAATAAACTCTTTTGCGTTTTCCGTCTGAAATGTGTTTGCTTTTACTGTTTTTATTGTTGCTGCTTTTGTTAATTATCTTTTTCTTTTTTGGCGGGCTGTGATCTGAAATGTATGTTTTCTTCTTTTTTCGGAAGTCCAACGTCCGCGCTTGTCAGGGAGAGATGCAGAATCCCATGGTCACACACGGCCAGGCGCAGCTTTGCTCTGGTTTGGTTGATGCCGGTGATCCCAAGCTTGAGCCCAACAAGCTGGCGTTTGGATGATGCACCAGGTTGTGAAGCGAAATCAGAAGACCAACACTTTGGTCTTTAGGTCGTTTGATGCTCTTCCAGGGAAGGCCCTTTTCTGATCAAACCAAGCTGACAGATGCTCAGATGCTCAGTACATTTCCGCGATGTTGGGCACTGACTCACTGACTGCCTTCAGGAGGGCTACTACTCCAACAACATGGATTATGCAAGCCTCCGAAGTCATCAACCAGGCGAACACCCAGGGGTCCGTTCTGGGTTTGTGGGGTGTCCTGAGGGTGTTGGGGCTGCGTCTTGGAATGAACAGTTGCAAGGAAAAACACCGAAAGGGCCAAAGAACATCATCCCTTCCCTATGCAGATCCACCATCCGCATCCGCCGACGTCTCCAGGCATCGCTCCCCCCAAGAAGAACAGCATAGAACACCGCCGACGCTGAAGCTGAAGCGACAGGCTACATGCAGACGCTGAAGCTGACGCCCGGTGGGCCAGTTCACTCCGGAGGCGGAGCGGCCGCGTCGCGGCGCGGAGCGGCACAGGGGGACGGGTGGCGTGAGTGTCAAGTCTGGCTCTTCTGTGCGATTCCCACGGCCACTCTGCTTCATGGCCGGACAGAAGCGGCAGGGACGCTGCTTCAGGGTCCCGTAGTGTCCGTAGTCCCTGTAGGTCCCGTAGTCCGTTGCAAAGAGCTCGGTCCCACCGCTCCTGACTTCGGTCCCACGTTCCCGACGGTCGGTCGTGACGCGGTCCGGGCACGACCGGTGGTTGCTTCAAACTGGTTTGGGTCGCCTCGCGTCCCGGACGGACACTTCCCTTGCACCATGCCGCATGAGGCCACCACCCGGCCAGCCGGGCTAGCCTGGCCCGGGCTCCGTGTGTCTCCTTTTCATCGTTCGTCTTCCACGTGTCGCATGGGCAGAACCAACGGATGAACCGTTGGGGTTTCGGCGGTCGCCCCCACACCGGACGCGTCACCGGTGACGAACCCAGGAGCTCCGCCTCCGGCTGACTCGTGTTGCGGATGAGGCGTGTGGAGATCGGTCATGTCGGTGGGAGTGTTCATGCGCGTTGTGGAGCATTTTCGAAGAAACGTTTGGAACGTGAAGTAACATGAAGACGGAGCCCGTTTGCACCACAACAGTGAATGCCGTCCCAGTTCAGGCTCCGTGACTGAGTCAATTCGACCGCACGACTCTCAGTTTGTTTTTGGAGCAACGAGAGAACCTTGCTCAAATTCACGACAGCCAATACCTGGGATATAAGATGACATACCATGATACAAGTGTTGGAGGATGTCGGAGGGATTTGACCAAACTTCTTGTCATTGTGCCAACGCCCCAAAAGACCAGAGAGGAAGGACACAGTTCCAAGTGGTCACTGAGACACCTGCGTGAGTGAATCAGATAATGACAATATTTCCCACATAGCGACAGCTATGGGGTTCTTACTTCAAATAACAATGAGCTGGCTGTGTGCGCTTTTGAGACAGGTGCTGGCTGTGGTGCTGGTGCTGGGTGCTGTGAGCTGGCTGTGCGCGTGGTGGAGACAGGGTGCCGGTGCCGGGTTCTGGTTGCTGGTGCTGGCTGTGGTGCTCGTGCTGGGTGCTGCGCTGGTGCCGGGTTGCTGGTGCTCGTTGTGTGCGTGGTGGAGATTGGGTGCCGGTGCCGGATGCTGGTGCTGGCTGTGCGCGTACTGGAGACACGCCACGCTGTATTGCGGCGTTATTTCCCGGGTAAAAAGGTTCCTGTGTGTGCTTTGGAGCTGCTGCCAATGCAGCGTGCAGTCCAGATTTTATTTGCATGTTTTTGCTATCTGGGGTCTATGCTGGTGTATTGTTTAAAACCAGTGCTGTAGAAAGAACAAGTGCATTCCAGGATTATATAAGGACTCGAGTTCAATCAGCTGTGTTGCCTGCAACCTCCTCAACGAAGGAAAAACTGTTTGACTGCGATTGGTCAGGAGTAACAAAGACTAAAGCGCAACATGTAGCCCATAGCCTATAGCATATATATTTGAATATTTTTCGTTCTGGTCGTGACACTAGAGTCAAACTCAAACTATACGGGATACGGAGTTTCCAATGTTGTTTTGCCAACATGACACCTGAGAGACGCGGAAGTCTTGCATGCCTAGTCAGCGAGTCGCATTTAGTCGACGCTGTCCTGAGCGGTGGCGAAGAAAGGACCGTGCTGCTGCCTATGACCCTTCTGGAGGTTGAGACGAGGGAACAATGGGTGTCAGAAAATTTGCTGGCTTGAACATCCAAGAGTCTGTGATAGGGACAATTGCCTTCATGGAGGTGCCCCTTTTATGGAACATGTTGATTCCCTTGTTGGAATCCATTGTGTCGATGGAGGTCTTTGGGTATTTCCGGAGTTTCCACATTCCGCTCTTTTTCACATCAAAGGCTTATTGTTGGAGCGACTGGTGTGACAGGTGACGGGAGGTTGCGATGACCAGCCGAGTGTTCCCACACTTTTCGATGACATCGGAACTCATTTGTTTGACCCAAAGGTTTGTAGCGTCTCAGGCCGTACGCAGGATTGGTCATTGACGCACACTTCACCGAACGTCGAATCGGTTCTACATACAGCTCCCGAGTGTGGCCAGTGCTGGACATGTCCGGTCACCCCATTCGTTTGCGTCTCGTCTCTCGGCGCACGTCGGGAGACTCGATGGTGTCAGGATCATCACTCTTGAGGCTCCAGTCCTTGATTCGACTCATAAAATCCAAGACTCAAAATCATTTTTTTTCCGAGGCTCCGCACCTCATGATCCAAACTTGCTGTTGTGTTCCATTTTTATGATACCGGCATGTCGAATGCAAGGCTCCACGTCGATCATTGAAGGTTGGATTCTACAGCAACCTGTCATGACCTGTCTGTGGTCTTTGCTCGTATTTGTGCAGGCTTCCCTCGCTTTGGGAACCCCAGGGAGACCCCTGTCAGAGAATCATTCATCGCATTTTCTGCGCTTGTGCAACCCTGTGCTGAAAGGAACATTCACCCCAATCGATTTTCCGTGCTTGTGCTGGAGCATTTGCTCGATGACCTGTTTGACTTTCTCTGAAGATCTCGGTCCACATCCAAAGAGGGGGTCCGCCACATCGTCGAAGATCCCAGGCGCGGGTGATGGGTGATGGGCGATGGATTCGTTTTGCTTTGGCGATGGGTGGCAGGTCAGCGCGCCACCATTCCCATGAATTTTTGGACAGGTACCCTCCACAAGAACTCTATAATCCTGACTTGAAAGTAGGGAGAGTTTCTGGAGTTGTTTCTCCTACAGTTTCAACCACGGTAATCTTCATGGGTTTTCCCTGTGACCTTTGGCTGACGACGTTGAAGGTATTAGTGTGACGATCGCTGACGGTGAGCGGTGTCACCTGAGCCGAAGTGGCGCTGAGATCAAGGTACATGTGCTGCCTGGTTCCATGCATTTGCACAGGTGGTGGTATGTGGCTTCATTTTCTAAAGCTCTTGACTTGGTCCACGATCTTTGCTTCGAAGAAATTCACTCTCACGTAGTTACCTCTGGATCCTCTACTTCACCCAATGCAAGTTTCTTATCAAAGACGCATGTCTCGAGACATGCGTTTGGTTCTTGTTCCAACCCCAAACCCAAACCATCATAAACCATCCTCTCGCCGTCGTTTCTTCTATTTTGTACACCAAAGGCACCGGTTCCCTCACCCCCCACGACCGACCCGGCCGTTGGTGCCGCGACACAAGAACTTCAGGACACGAGCGAGCACGGCGCCATGGCGATGCGCGCAGTCCTGTCGGGGTGCCCTTCATGGCGCCGGGAGCGGAGAGGGAGCGTGGTAGGTCTTGCGTAGCCACCTGAGAGCCTTGCAAACAGGTATTTACAGTAATGGTATTGAGGTGTAGCTGGGGTCTTTGTGTGGTTTTGTTTGGATTTCAGTTTGTTTTTTTCAATAATGGTAGCCTACCATTAGCGGGGTATGGCATTTGCAGGGTCACTCCTTAGCTGGTGAGGACATGTCCAGTTGGAGCTCAAGGGAGGGACATAATGAGTCAGACTGGATATGGATGATGCGAGGATTGATGAATATTTGTGTCCTCGACCCGTTCAGCAAGTAACAGCATTGACCAATCCCCTCCGATTGCCAGTGGAATCACCCAAAATGCTTCGAAGTTGTGTTTCATCCTAAAATCATTCTGAATCCCTCCGGCTTGTGCGGACTGGGGTGGGTTTTTGTAAAGAAAGACAGCTGGTAGACTGACTCGTGCGATTCGTGAGGAAAAAGGCGGGCTGGATCCTAAAGTGTCTCCTGTGGGGGTCAGCCACCCTCATTCCCTACTAAGCAGCAGCCAGTATAGTAGACACATGGTGGGAAGCGGAACTTTTGTTGGCGGGGAAGTCGGGAAGTCGAGCATTGGGAAAGCCCACCTCTTCAGGTTTGATTCCTTTTCGGTGTGTATGGTGCGTTTCTTGGTGGAAGCCCGCTGAGAGCTCAGCTACTTCATTTGAGGGACCATTGCGACACAAGCCGCTCGCTGAGTCGCTGAGGTCCCGAATGGCAATGCCCTTGCGAAGTACCCTGACGCGGCTGGGGGGCAAAGTGATTTGTTCTGTCAAGAGGGATCAAATGCATGCAGAGTTTGAAGGATTTTGAAGCTCATTGATTGCTTCCTGCTCGGGCTCTAGCGGCAGCTTGGAGTGCAAAAAGCACCAACACTGCCCTTGTGTCGGTTGAATGATGACAAGCAGATCAACTCCTTGAGGTCCCAGAACGAGCACAAAGTCACGCCCCATCTCTCCAATGTACCCAGGGCCCATGTGAATCACATGTCATCGCATTTGGTTGAGCTGAAAAAGTCCCGAAAGGCAAGTCCCACTCAAATCCCATCCATGCCATGGGCTTTGGCTTTGTGCTTCAACAATTGGAAGTGCTTCTTGTGAGCTTCTTTGCTGCATGCCCATTCATTCTCATCGTGCAAAAGTTGTCATCGCTGGATGCAGAAACATTTCAGCCTTGCAACGACCAGCCCTGTCAGCTCTTCCGTCTCTTCACCTCAGAAGCTGTCCCAGGAACAGCACCTGATCTCTTGATGGTGCAGAATGGGGTCTCACGCCCAGTGATGCTCAGTGATGACTTGACAACCGCAGTGCCAGTGCTCTACCAGCAGCCAGTTGCTCGCTCCAGGATGATATTCCTTGGCTGTTTCTTTGGGGGCTTTGCATATCAATATCCTGGAGAAGGAGAGTTTGTTTCGGACATCCAACAGGCTTGAGAAGTCTGCTTGTCGGGTGTGTGCATCGGCTTCATGTTCAACAACTCGTTTCAAGCATGGTCCTTCTCTGTGCTAGGACGGAAGCCGGACATCATTCAACATGCGCGTAAGATGGTGGAGCACCATCAGAAGAATAGCACCGCAATCAACCAGTTTCTCGAAAGCCACCCGGGCACCCGGAGCCTGGTGAGTAATCTTACGCATGTTGCGTCCAGAATGCAAGTCTCTAAAGGTGTTTGGTCAAATTCTTGGGATCGTGTCAGAACATTGATATATCAGGTGGCATACCTTGTGGAGAATGGATATTTGACGGGCTATCAACAGATCGTGCTTTGGTTGTCTGGGGAGTCGACTACAAGCTGAGCTGACAGCTGCCCCACGCTGTCAGAACACAGATTTCAACGCAATGCAGGACAAAGCATACCATCAGAAGACAACCTAGCTTCATCCCGCGCGATGATGGTGTACCTGCTGTCAATTACAATGTGGGCTCTTTTCAAGGCTGTTCATGAAATTCTCCTCTTGTGGGATTGTCGAGAGGAAATTTCTCTCACAGTGGCAATTGCTGGTCTTCAATTCCAAGGCCTTGCAGTGGGTAGTGGTTGGATGGTGGCCATGGGTGCCTCTGAAGTCTTTGTGGCCCAGGTGGAGGCATTCCAGGAGAACATGCCCTGCCAGTGCTACTACACGCTGGAACCTCTCACTGCCTTCTTTCTCATGAGCACTCCCCTTCTTCTACTGTACACCTATCTTTGCAAAGCAAAGCGTGTTGCTCAGGCAATCCTTTCTGGAGATTACATGCACACCAAGACGTTTGAGGTTCGCTACGACATGCTGAAGCTGAACGAAGCGTGGGGTTCACATGACCTGCTTCTTCCTGTCCCTGTTGGTCATTCTCAGCAAAGCTGTCCGAGACAGTTCCCAATATGGAAAGAGAGGGCTCTACTTCTTTCGGCACTATCCATATTGAATCGTTTTCCTATACGCTTACTGACCGTTTGGGTTCCAGCAGGCCTCGCATCAGCAATGGTACTTCCTAAATTAATGATTTAAGGGCTTACGCCCGACAGCCGGCCAGGGGCCCAAGCAAAGGGCTTGCTGCAGTCGTGATAGAAAACCAATGGAAAACCAAGGTTTTCGGCGACCATCTTGGGGCTAGGTTGGCCCATCTTGGAGGCTATGTTGGCCCATCTTGGGGCTATGTTGGCCCATCTTGGGGTTATCTTGACCCAGCTTGGGGGCTATGTTGGCCCATCTTGACCCTATGTTGGCCCATCTTGGGGCCATGTTGGCCCAACTTGGGCACTTTTTTCGGCTTATGTTGGGCCATGTTGACCCATCTTGAGCCACAAAGCCGGAAAAAGTGGAAGAAGCAGAAAACACTGTAAAACGCGGGACTGCGCATGGGTCGAGCAGGGGTCGGCGGCGAGGGGCGGACGCCGCTCTCTCCTTTGGAGAGGAGAGACGCCTACGGCAAGGACACGGCCAGCGGGCCCCTGGCCGGATTTTTCTAGCTTCCCTTGCCGTGGACCCAGAGTGGCGACCGAGTGCCATCTGGCTACGAGGGCTACTGTGGTTGCCAGCAATGTCTGGGCCTCTTGTGTTTGCATTGCGATCCTGGAAGGAGTGTGGCAAACTCCGTGGACTGGCACAGCTGTTCTTTTTTTTGGAAGCTGGTGTGGTTCATTCCACATTGTTTTTTTTCTTCTCATGCCACGACTGCAGCCGGATCATTCAATATCGGGGTTAGAATTGCAGTTTGACGTTCAATTGTGGATGGCAGGAGCATTTTTGGCTGCTGGATCCTTTTCCAGAATGCTAGAACGAGACATTCTCGAGGTGGAGACTTCCGCAGAAACTGCCCTGTCAATCCACGCTGACTTGGCACTGTTTCATACGACTGGCCTATTGTCGCCGGTTTTCTGGGGCCACACACTTAAAGATCCACGCGACTTGGTTTTCATCTCAGATCAGTGCTTCTGGCAGATTTATCAGCTTGACAAGCTGTTGAAGGAAGCGAGGTCCTTTGTGAATCAGCAGTGTGTTCTCGCTGATCCAGATCCACGTCTCTGGGAACAACGCCTAAAAAGCTTTCTAACCAGAGAACAGTCTGGCTACGAGGAGATTCCCTTGCAAAGTGAAGAGGAATCTCCACGGGCAATGCCCGAAGCTTCGACAAAGTTAAATCCGCAAGCCGTAAGCCTACTAGGGCTGCGAGAAGATTCAGCTTTGGCTTGAAATAAGGTCCTGCTGCGGCATGAACACATTCAACAGGTGACAATGACGTTATTACACTTGAGGATGCTCCACCCATAAGGTGGTTGTAACCAGCTGATGGAAGCTGGGTCGTAAAACAGGGGATGTCCAATTCTTCCTACTCCCACGTGTTCAAACATTCTGGAACTTTCTGACAATTCTCTTCGTGCTCGGCTGCTCAGTGCTCCAGCGTTGTCAGGTCTCCGGTCGCCTTCAAGCCGCTCCAGCAGCCGCGCTGCAACCTCACGACCATCTCGCGGCCCCTCTGGAGGCCGTCTGCGATTTGTTCGGGGTGACGTGGTCGACGGATGTTGACGGATGTTGAGGTGGTCAAAGAGTTGATGATGTCTTAGCGACAGCCCAAAAACGTAGCATGGCCAAGATACCATGACAGCTTTTCCCAAGCAAATACAATCGTCATGTTGTCCATGTAGCAACTCGTTTGGTTGCATCCAGTGGCTGTGGGATTCTGGAATGCTCACCAACTGGGGCATGCCAGATGTTGTTCTGAAGTTCTGTTAGACAGTTAGACCTGAAAAGAAGGATTTGCAATTGTGGCAGTTTTAGATCATACGGCGGGTTTGACGGTTTGTTGGAGCAATGAGCAGCAGCCTTCGACCCTTTCAAGGCTCTCCTTTGAGAGATGCATGAGCAGTAGCCTCTGGTGGCTAGTCATGAGACCAGTCACAGAGCTTTGTCTTTCTCATAATCCCCTTGCTTTGTCGATGACCCCTCCTGCCAAGGGACCTTCCCTTAGGGAAATATATTCCTCAGAAGGTGGACCTCTTCTGTCAGAGAAGAGCGACAGGAAGATCAAGATCATTGCTTCTACCACCACTTCTTCCCGCAAAAGGCTGCGACCAAAGTTGAACCCACTCGGTAGTCAGTCTGTTGTGGCCAAGTCCTTGCAGAACTCCCCCTTCCCCAGCCGTCTTGACCAGGCCGGAAGTGCGCGCCGCTACTGCTTTGATCCAGCCACGCCAGGAGAAGGCCTGGGGACTCAGGATGTCACGTGGAAGATGTGGATGGGCACTTTCAGTTGAAAAACGCCATGTTTCAATCTACAATTGGTGAACCTGAGCAGATGGTGGAATTGATCATTCTTGATCATTTCGGACCAGACCTTCGGCTTCGAACAAGTTTGGTAGTGAGTAGCTCAAAGGCTGAAGATCAGCTCCTCAGACGGGTTGATGGGACGATTGGCCAACTCTTTGGGTATTCAGACTGTGTGGACGACTGGCCCTACAAACAGTCAGACCCGTTTGACTGTTCGATTCGACCCTCTGGACTCGAAGGTTTTGGCACTCGCGGTCCGCGGTGGAGGTCAGTCTTGTTCAACCCACCTCATGCGAAGCGAAGCGGAGTCCGTTTTTCTTCTTTTTTTCTAAACTGAACAACTATTGGGGCGCCCGGGGCGATGGTGATTTCTGGTGGAATTTGGTTGGCAGAAGTGCCGGCTGAAGGTCCCTCGCCTTCTTGGGTTGCCGGAGGTTGTAAGGGACGAGCGAAAGAGGAAGACATTTTGACATTGGATTTGGAGTAAGATCTAAAAGAACATGTATATAAGCACATTGGACATGTACATGTCTGAATTTCCTCCACTGGAGCTCCCATCCACATGGCCCGCCCCACGACGAGCCGAGCCGCGCTTCGCAGCCGAGGCCCATCCACCGGTGGTCAGCGGTCTTCGCACCATGTCCACGTGGCGCCTTCGGCCCTATGCTGCTGCAGGTGGGGCCGACGCGGAGCGACGTCGAAGCCGTCGAAACCGGAGCGTAGCAACCAGCCCAGTGGAAGATGAGGATGAGGATGAGGATTAGACACACTAGAGTCACTATTGAGTGTTAAAAGGAGGGAAGGCATGATCAAGTGTTGGTTGGATATCGATTTTGGTCATCCCTCCAGGTAGCCATTCACTCAGGTTTTTTGCCAGTCAAGATCTGTCAAGCATACGAGAACAACAGAAATCCATCAATTTCCAGTGCTGGCCCCTTCGTTTGCATCCCATCCTCCGACTCATCAGTCCATCCAGCTCTGTCAGGAGCAGGAGCAGCCCTGCCCTTAACCTCCCTCAGTGCCGGCTACAGCAAGGTCAGAGTGGAGGGAACAGAAAAGGTTGGGAAGGCACTTCTTCATAGCAGTGTATCTCTTTTTTCTTGTGAAGACTTTCAGCTGATGGGATGTGCTTAAAGCACAAGACGAAGGCGGAAGCCCAGCATTGTTTGCCAAATGTTTATGGCAGTGCGCGATTTGGAGTGTGGGTGCTGGTGTCCTGCTGGTGTCGACCCCAACAAATATCTTTTGCTATCTGGGGTCTATGCTGGCGCATTTCTATTTTTGCAAGGAACAAATAGACTTCATTTGGCTTTTTGAGTCCAAACCATGTCTGAAAACAGCGATGAAGGGCGGGATGCTGTGAAAATAGACTTTGCCACATAGAAGAAAATTGATGCTGCGAAGGTTTGTCCAGAAAAACGGTTCTAAGCAACTCTGCTACTCAAAAGAAGTCTTCGCTGTAGACAATGGAGTCTTCTCACACATCCATATCCGTCAGCCGAAGCATACTTGCCCTACCAACAATACCAGGAGATTCATCTTTGAGACAGACTCAGCATATAAACAAAGACACACTTCAAGGAGCCTGCCTCAGAACATGTGTGCTGTGCACAAGGGATTCGTGATCAGGTGGGCCTGTCTTTGCTGGTGCTCCCCTGGAAGGTGCGGGACCCGCTAAAGCTGAAGCGCTCGGTGGTGCCGTTGTGGCGGGGATGAAGGGGGATGATGAACTTGCAGTGGTGAATTCTTGGTGAGGTTCGAGCTTGATTGACTGGGCGTGGGTGTAGTGGGTTCAACGAGGGAGGCCATTTGGACTTTGGAATTCTGACAGTCTTGAATCAGCTATAATGATCAATATATATATATATATATAGTGCACTCCAAGGGTACTTTTCAAGCAGCTAGGCATCGGTCGACCTCGAGAGCTTGAAGTTTCTGAGACCAGTTTCAGCTTCTTCATGTTTCTTTGCTTTTCTTCAGTACAGTAACTTCTTTTGCAGCTGCTGTCCCTCTTTACCAGCATCCGGCCGAGCCATCCAGCGCGCCAAGCCCACCAGCGCCCTTGGCCCGCCCTTATGCGCCTCGCACCGGTGTCAGGCGCTGCCCATGGCGCTCGCACTGGCACCCACCGTGTGGGTCTTGCCGGCGGCCTATCGCATGATCTTTCAAAACTCTATGAGGTTCCCGGGATGGGTCGAACGCGGTGAGAGGGCGGTGAGAGGGCGCTTGGCGCGGGTTGGGCTTTTCCATGGGGCTGGGCAGAGGACATGAGGGGAACATGTTGTTGTTCTTTTTGACATGCTGTCAAGATTATGATTGTGTTTTTTTGCTTCACCCCAATTGATTTCTGCAGGCAGGCTTATGTAGTTATATACTTTTTTGGGGTCTCTTGCTACTCTTACATGTGAAAAACACTTTGTGAAGTAAATAAATGGGTAGTCTCACCGGGTCAGCATGAACGTTGGACTGCTGGCCTGCACGCCACAGGCATACCACTGCATCCGTCTTCACAGTGATCTTGTATTTGGTGCTCTCCTTCATGCCAGTGCCATGCTCCTCGACTGCCTCAATCTCTGGGCCAGTTGGGAAGGTGAGTAAGGATTCGCGAGGGTTGTTCTCATGAAAAAGGCGCCCCCAACCACTTGCGATCGCAAGCCTCCCATGTGGTAGACGCCAACGAATGCAGAATTTCCTTGTACCGCTGAGGCTTTGAGAACCTCTTCTCCGAGCTGGCCTTCTATGGCATCGCCCTGGTCTCCACCTTCTTCATGTCTGCCCAGGGGGGGAAGTGGTGGCCAAAGTGGGGTCGACCGGTCTCCTAAAAGAATTGTATGGGAAGACAGCTGCGTTGATTGGATGTTCATCTCCTGCAGTGTTCATAGGATGGTTGCGGGTCCTGAAACCCGGTCAGAAACCAAGAAGAACCAAGCTCGGAGGAAGTCAGTCAAATCCAGAGGGATACATGCGAGGAGAACGGCTTGCAGGTCTTCATTGTTCTTTGATATCCCATTGCCATAGTTGGCTGGTTTGTGCTTCACCAAAACAACATCGAACGTGGAACGATGATTTCCGCTTTGTGATGATTTTTCCATTTGATGTGAGGTACACCTTCTTTCCGGAGGTCCTTCTTCATGACTTCATGTGCCTTGGTTCACGGACCGGCCGCGGAGGCAAGCAACGCTCCAATAGCGTGTTGGAGGTGGACGGGTTGGCAGGGGAGAAGCTCACCGACAGAGCTTCCCCGTGGCCATCCATCTCCACAATGATTGAGCAACCAGTGTGGATTTGGACACGTTTCCGCATTTCGTGTTTGAAAGGCCCTTATGAGGATGACGCTTCATTTCTAGGGAGTTGACCATAATCGGTTGGGCAGAACGAATTCTGACGAAGATAAGCGGAGCTGTGGTTTACATCATTTTGCATCCCAGAGGGTAGGACTTGACTTGTTTGTCTTTAGTTTTGACCAGGCATGCCCATATGGCTTTGTGTGGACATTCTTTCTATTCTCCATGGCCTTGTCGAATGCACCTTTGCTGGCTACCACAACGCTTCGGCTGCTGCCTAGCAATGAAGCCAACAGGAAGACCTAGACTTCAGCTGAGCTCTCTCCTTGCTCACTCCAAGTCTGACTCACCACACCGAGGTTCATGCACTACTTGGCGCTCTTCACGATTCCATTGATCCCCTTGGCCTTTGCCTACATGCCCATGTTCGCAGCCAGGAGATCCGCCAGCGCCACGATGTCTGGTTCGATGTCCTGCCGTGGTGATTCGACCCACCATGGCAACAACCCACACCAACAGTCACAGTTCTGCAAGTACATGGTGGTTGTCACCGTGGTCGGTGTTGTTGAAACACTTGCTATGGCTGCTTATCAATCGGCAGAACTACGGTGGTTCAGTTCGGTTCCAACTGGAGTTTCGTCTACTATTCACTGTCATCAGAAGGACACGAATGGTTGGTTGACTCGCACAACGATCGGCCAAGACTCACCAATTAACTCGGCAAAGATTTGGGTCATTTGCTGGAACGAAAGGCATGAAGAGAATCCAGCAGTCTGTTGTCCATGCGTTTGTGACTGATTCGGACAGAAGAACCTTGGCCAGGAGCTATCTATTCCTCTAGATGAACTGTGCGGTGACCAGATATCAGTGGTGTGCACGGAACAGCACATCAGACCGAATCAGACCCTCCTGAGTTCTGCCAATGAGAAGTCTTGCAGAAAAGAAAAAGGTATCAACTTGAATTTCAACATCACAAAAGACAAGTGTAAATGCTAAATTCTAGTAAACATAATATCTAAACATTGTGAATTAAAGGTATATAGATCGATATTGTTACATATATAATACATTATATACTGTATGACATTATATGCACATTGTACATTATTGTACATGTGTTTTATTTGTTCTAAGGTGGTTGGCCCTTGGGGCGGAAGAACGACCTTTTTAAAGACGGCAGACAGCACACATCGCTTGGAACCGGAAGTTTTGCCGCGGAGGGTGGAAAAATCGCTCGCGCCCTCGCTCGCTTGTGCTCTCGCTGATCGTGCGTCTCAGTTGCGGCATGTGACGTGATTGTTGAAGTTCACGTGTGAGTTCTCGCACTTTTCACGTGAGTTCTGCAGAGAAGCAGAACTTCCAAATCTTGGTCCATGTATGTCCATGTCATTTGGTCCTCTTTGTACGAAATGATCTCCTTGCTTTGTCCTCTTTGCTTAACGTCTTTCAACGAGATCGCCGGAGTCACCGAGTCACTCCGGGTGTTCGGCTCGCATGGGAGCTTGCGGGTTGGGGCGGAGTGGGGTGGAGTTGGGTTTTGCTTATACAAAGAGAGGGTGGAGGGATAGGAGGGATGTAATTGATGATCTTGAAAAGTTTGCATGCTGAGTGAGATTTAGTGCTCGGAAAATCCAAGGAACAGAATGAACAATTATTGATGACACGAACATTGCCAGTCTATGCTGTTACTTTGATCACAACGGTTTTGCTTGCATGTTCTGCTTCGGTGTGTGAAGAAGAACACATCATCCAAAGCTTCTCAAACAGCCAGTCCCAGCATGCAGGACCGTTCTGGCTCAAGAGTAAATTACATTGAGGCGACATGATGTGGAGTAGGATGCCTAATCCCTCAACAAATCAGAGGACATTGCAACGAATGCCGAGACACGCCGATGACCACGTGGATGAGAGCTGTGCGGAACCGTAAGTGTGAAGGTCTCTCTGTTTGTAATCGGTCATTAGCCGCACTAGCTGGACAATGTCAGTGCAGAGTGGAGAGTCATGGAGATTTCAGAAGCTCAGAAGCATATCTTTCCACTTGTTGCATCCGAGCAACCTGTCAATTGCCGTGATGGCGAATAATCCAGGAGTGCTAAATGTTATTTTTGGTTGGCAAGCGGATTGTGTTTGTACGCGTGGTACTGGAAATGAGGCTCCCACCAACTCAATCCTACACCTTGAACGATGTAACTTTGTGCCTGAACGTCAGGAAGAGGCGCTTTTGGGTACTGTAAGTGACTCTTGGGAGGACCAATTCCTTGACTCAGTCAGTCACCTCGTTTTGTGGGCACGAATTCCAAGGCTTTTGACTTTCGCAACCATCTGCTTGTGGTCATTCAAAACATATTGTGGTGCAACATCAAATGTTCCTAAAGGATTTTGGCGCATTTTCGGAGATTTGGGTCGTCCGCCAGGAGAGCTCACAGTGAACCGAGAGGACTTTGAGGACCGCATTCCTGCGGGCGGGGTGGTTTTTGGGTCGGACACCCGCAAAAACTCTGTGAGGGGTTAGCTGAGTAGGAGGGAAGGCACCCAGTGGCATAGATACTTTCTTCTCTTGTGTTGACACTAGTCCATTTCTTTGTTAACGTTATGTGTTCAAGAGGTGGATGCACGTGTCCCCCGTTCTTCGGAGATTCAGCAGTTTCTGAGCCGTGTGGAGACGAGGCGAGAGAGGTAACGCTCTGACCTGCAAATGCAGGAGCCCGGCCGGCCCAAGCAGTCGGGGGATTTCAAGGTGCAACGCTTGGTGGGGGTCCGGGACACTCAGGCGGTGTGGACGAAGCGCGGGACTGGAGGCGCGACTTCCGGCAGGAGAGTCGGGGTTTGAGTCGAAATGGCCATGATGTTTTGATGCTTCAGAAGAAGAAGTGGAAGTGCCGCGCGGGACACTTCGCTGGAAATTCCGGCCTTCCATCAGGGGCGACAGGGGAGCAGTTGGTTCTGGCTTGGATCCCTTCGCTGTCGGGTCGAATCGGGCGAGCTCGCTGTGAGCTCCGTGTCGATGACGAGGGACCCGGAAAGTCACGCGAAGCACATGCGAAGCTCATGCGAAGAAGGTCCTGGACATCCAGTGCGGAACGTGCGGAACGGGACTTCGCCGCCGCCGAACTGGGGCAAACTGCAGGTGCACCTGACGTTCTGCTCCTGAGTTTGGACGCATGTGCAGCTGAGGTTTGGAAGGCAGAGCATATCTTGTGCAGACGCTGCGGCCAGGCACGCATGTCGAAACGGGCAGATGGAACCGATGCCGCTCACGGAGGGAGCGGATGGCAGGAAGAGATCCAGCTGGAAGAAGACCTCGAGGAAGCCAGGTTTTCAGCGATCTCATGGTGAGGAACCTTTTCAAACCACTGGTTTTGTAGAGGAAAGATCGTCTTTCCAACATCTTCCAAAGGTCCATGGCCCAGGGTTCCAAACGTCCATTGTCCCGGGTGTATTCATGAATGATGGTGCAGGTGGTTTCTGGATGTCCTTCGTCACCTCTTAGGGCACAGAACATGAGGATCATGCAAAGCAGATGTGCCGGAGCCCCTATGGCAGGAAAGTTCGATTTGTTAGGAAACTGTTCTACCCGCAGCGGTGCCTCAGGGAGGCTACTAGACAGTGAAGATTGCTTGAAAAAGAGACAGTTGTTCAATAACTACAAAATGAGATACCCCGAAACAAACACAGGGAGATCCAAACACAATGACTGTGGTCCATTTCCATCCTTGGATTGCGGAGTCGGATGGTAGGATGGTCATCTGGGGTCGATGCAGCGGGCCCTTCGGCGCCATCGGAGCATCACTGATCTGAAGGGCATGCCTCCGAAGCTGCAAAGCACAGATGCCATTTCGTTCATGAGTGTTTGATCAGGTAGACTTCAAGATGATTTGGTGCCTATGGATCGGCAGTTCGCCCCCACCCAAAAGAATTCAAGATGATTCAGATTTATTCAATATCATCAGCTTTCTCAAGGCCTTCATGGGCACTCACACATCTCTTCCCACACAGACTTCCCATCTCTTGACCTCCCCCTCCCCCCGCCGCGGCGCGTCTGGTTTCGCGGCCAACGACGGCCTCGCAGATCTTCAACTACGGCACCATTACAGGGCCAGTTCTGAAGTGCTCCAACTGCAGCTTCGAGCAGCCCTTCGATGAGAAGGTGGGGGTAAATCCCCTAGTTATGCTGCTGCGTTCATGTGCGTTTGTGGGCAACTTTCTGGCATGGCTGCCATGGCTCTTCCCATTGGCTCTTCTTGGGGCTATATGGGTTGGATGATGCCGGATGAATATGAATATCATGAACATAAAGAATATCATGAACACAATGAATATCATGAACATCATAAATATCATGAACATTAACATCATGAGCCCTCCAGTTCGCACTTTGCCATTATAGAGGTCACAGTTTTTCAAACCAAACCCACCAACCTCGTCGCACCGGGTGTCCGACCGCATCGCTCGCTCGATTTTCGCGCCAGAAGCCGATCTCCTCGGTGGCCACCGTCTACGAGCGGGTGGAGCGTGGCGGAGGGACGGTGATGGTTTATTGTGAGCAGAGTTTGGGGGTCAGTATGGGTCAGTGATACAGGGTGATGCAAGATGATCAAACTTGCTTGCTTGCTTGCTTTCTTACTGCTCAAGTCCGGTGCGCAACTTACACCAAGTGAGTTTGAGGGTACTGTATTTGTTTAGCCAGGTGAAACCACCATGGTGGAGCACCAGCGCGGAACAGGCCAGGCCATTGAGATCGTGGGAGCGGCTGTGATCAATCATGGTCCATGGTGACCATCCGTCACTGTGATGGCCACGTGTAAGACATGTCTGTAGCATGACCAACATAGATAAACACAAATAAACGATATAATGGCGACTCTTTTTCGGCATGACAACATGACAATCTTTTCAAGTTTCCCCATGGACTTATCGTTGGGGACTTCGTTCGTTTGCGGTTCCCGGGTTTCGCGTTTCCCATGGATCCACCGATCTCGGATCCCAGACGTTGGGAGTTTCTTTTGGCTCACTGCTTCGACAGGAAGAATCAAGATGAATCGAAGTGGATAGAAGTGGAAGATCTGTGTGGAAGATTCTCAAGTCGTTTTCCCCCTCTTTTTGTTCAGGCTGGTGTCAGGAACCTTGAGTGTTTCAGTTCCAGCTCGCCCAGGGCGATTGGGCACAGATGGAGGAGGAGGCCTGGCCCGGGCCAAGGAAGAACGTCGAGGAACGGTGGCAGGTTGGTACGGCATTGGAACGGTGGGAAGTGTTGCATCAAAACCGTTGGACTTCACTAACTCCTCTTTTTGGGGATGCAAACATCATGTTTTCACCTTGCTCCAACTTCCAGGTTCATAACTTCTCATTTTTTTTTGGGCTGGTTGAATGCACTCTGGTTTGCTTGAATGCGTGTGGTGTAGTGCATTCCTACAATGCCCCGACCTTTAATTTCCAAAACGTTTAAACAACAATTGATGTTCTTCCGTGGGTGGTTTCTGTGGAACCAAAGCAAACAATGTGCAAGCAGATTCGAGGGCGGTTTGAAGGGTGTTGCTGAATCTTTATCCAACTACTCATGGATTGTGCAGGAGAATCTCCTTGCAAGATTCTGATTGGCTTTTATCAAGAAGAGTTCCGAGACTCATTGATACCATCACTGTGGAAGGACACAATCTGAAGATAGAGCCAAATTCTAGATACATATATAGGAAGGTGTATGTGGGTGTACGTGAGGAAGATCATTTCATACATATCGTTTTCGTTCGTAGTCCCTCCATGGATTTTTCGGCAGAGCGGTTGCCTGTTCACGTCCCTCCTTGTTTCGGACCATCGTGAAGTTCGGTCTCAACCTGACCCCCAAGACCCCAAGGCCCAGTACCCTCAGATGGCTTTCCACCAGGTGACTGAGCATCCAGAGATCGACCAGGAATGCCCCAGTGCCTTGGAGTGCTCAAGTGCTGCTTTTTCGCTCGCAGTGCATTAGGCCCAACATGCCTCATGGGCTTGATGTGTTCGGCTCGATGTTCTCCGTCTTCCGATCATCTTCTGAGATCGTGCAAGAATCAGGTGCTGTGCTAGGTTCATGGGGTCACCGGGGTCACTGAGTCTCCTGTCATCACCTATGTTGGTGCAAGGGAAGTCAACAGCGCCACAGCAGCATGGTGGCTCAGGTTGTGGTCACAATCGCTTGCAGTTCTGGACACGACAGCTGCGCTCCGCAGATGAGGGCTTGAGCGTCTTCTTTCTTTGCTGGGGGACTCAGCTGCGTGTGTGTATGTTCAGTTCGGGAAGTTGTGAGCCATGTTTTTATCTTTTTCTCAAATCTTGAAGAGTTGCCTGTAGCCTGTAATGTATATGATGTTCAATTGCGGTCTCATCATCTTCACCAATTTGCAAAGCTGGAATCTATCTGCGTAACGCAGCAATCGTAATGCTTTTCAGATGAGCTTCTTGGACGGCTTCATCTCTTTTTCTACGACATTCAGCATCAATTCTTTTTGCATGACCATGCAGTCCTCATGACCATGGCCATGACCATGGCCACGTCCATGACGTCGCTGGCGGCGATCTCCACGTCTCTCATCCTGTCTCTACGCTCGGCCGCCGGCTTCATCGCGGTATCGGCGAGTCGCGTCGCCGGCGATCGCCACAACAACAACGAACAGGACAGAAACCATTGAAGCCTGGGAGGTTAGAGAATTCCGGAAAGTAGGAAGAGAACCGTCCTGAATCCAGTCCCCCCTTGAACCATGGAACCGGGGAGAACCGACATGAGCGACGAACCGACATGAACGACGAACAGAGACTCCGGTTCCGGGACCTCCCGAAGAAGCTCGCTCGGCCGACGCAAACCAACTGGCCGAGGCAAGAAGTGCGGCTGGCGAACGGTAGAGAAGTGATTGGGCGGCACCAAAAAAAATAAAGCGACCGGTCCAATGGTTGGTGGTGATGTGGTGAGCCATTTTGTTGATTCTGGGAAGCGCACTCTTCACCTTAAAAAACAAGGTTTGAGACAATGTGTATATAAAACAGTTTGTAAAAAGACATAGCCATTAGGCTTGTCCGCAGCTGGATGGCACATCCAAATGCAGCACCTCTTGGTTCAAAGTCCTTCCATGGGCATGGGCACTCATGGTTGACAGACAATCTTTTTCCAGTTGCCCATGCCCGTGCCCCTCGCGGACATGTCGTCACCCGCAGTGGCCGTCTTCAACGTGGCGTGATTGGTCAATGTGAACCCCACTTCCGCCTTGGCTCAGGACATGTTCAAGAGACAATTTCATTCATTGATGACTCTACTTTGATGTTACCGATGCTGCTAAGACCTCCTTCCGAGTTTCAACATTATATAATTTATACATATATATACAGTATATATAAGAGACACACACACAGAGTGGATTCTCAATGAAAAGGACAGTTTTGTGTTTCTTGCATCCCACTTCCCACCCGATGCTTCGAGCTAGGTCGATATATCGTGTTGTTCAAAAACCATCAAAAGCAATCCGCCTCTTTTCCGCCCAAAATCACGGCGTTGCTCAAAGTCGTCAGCAAGCTCCTTCGTGGTGGCAAGTCCAGTAAGTTGGCAGGATAGGCTGCAGGATAGGCTTGTTGGCAACAAGCCAATCGTGCCAAGTTTTTGTGTCCAACCAATCCTTTGAAAATCTTCGAGCTCCCGGTTCGGTTGCTCTTCGAGCTCCCCGTCGGTCGGTCTTCGCGAAGATTCGAAGGTTCGTTTCCATGGTTTGCGCCTTCCGATCTTCGTCGGTGGAAGGCGATGTTGAAGGAGGGACCCATGCAGCTGACAGCAGCTGCAGCGACGGGTTATATAGGTCTAGGTGTTTGCATCGAAGACTTCGAGGGGAATGAAAGTACTGTAAATAGCAGCGAATGAGCCGGACACGCCGATGAACACCGACACCTTCAGACACCTGACCTGAACACCCTTACCGCAAGAAATCCTACTGTGGACACACTGTTTGGGGAACACAGAGATATCTGTGCAACACAAGGCAAAAACAACAAGCGGATGTTGGTTCAATACTTGTGCAACAATCTGATTCAGCGACACAGAATTCTACTGCATGTACAAATATGTTTCGACCTTTAATTCTGTAGGGCTGGACGTTGTTCTTGACAGCCGTCCATGAACGATGTTCATGACATGATCCGCTTGGTTTCGCAGTGGGTTTGGATGGATTTGTTGAAAAGAGTTTCCTTCAAAGCACTTTCCTTTTTGGACTGGCAGGGTATCAGGGATCATGATTGCATTTGTGTTTTTCCGGCTCGTGCAGGACATTTCAATGTGTCTATGGATACATCATCACATTGTATGGATTGGTTACTCAGAGATAGTTTTACACATCAACATGCATCTCAACTGTGTGTTTTTTTGTCTCCTAAAGATGGATGTTGGCTCTGAGCAAGATGTACCATGGGTTTATTGCAGGCACTGCTCATGAATGGATGATTGTGAGGACGGTATCGGTGCAATTGCCTTGTGAGCTTGGACAGTCAGTGACTCTGATTGTCACGCTTTGGACATGTAGCTTTCACGTTCAGTTCTTTGCGCACCTGCTCTTGGCACAAGAAGTGCGTTTGATGAACGGTGGAGAAGTAATGCAGAAAAAGAAGATCGCTGATGGGGATGAGTTTGTGAGCAACGCACGAACCTGGGTCTTGCGCACAGCAACTGACTATTCTTACACGCTCAACGCTGGGTTTCAGTGAGGCATCTATATTTCCATTGTTGGCTGCGCAGTTGTGAAGCACCAAATCAAATTGGGCCATCGCTGAATCTCGTACGCTGGTGATCCTATCTTCATGTTGAATCTGCGCAGTGGAGGAGTGGGGCTGATGGCCAAGTCTCGGAAGACTAGGTGATCAAGGAGAGAACCAGTAGCTTCTGGTGCTGGAAACCAAAACAATTTCAAGGCAACAATTTTCCGTTAAGTCAGTTTGAAACATGTGCATACCATAAATAGGAAAAACCTGTCGGACTTGTCCACAACTTGATGACACATCCACTTGTAGCACTCTTGGTTCAAAATCCTTCCAAGCTTGGACACTCTTTTTGCAGAGATGGCGGCCTGCTCGTTGCCCATGCCCATGCCCCTCGCGGACATGTCGTCACCCACAGTGGCCATCTTCAATGTGGCGATGATTGGCCATGTGAACCCCACTTTTGCCTTGGTACAGGACATGCTTGGGAGAAACTTTTAACACCTCACCCTACCATCTCACGACTCAAAGACTCACCATCTCACCCTACCATCGGTGGAGGCTTGGTATCAATTTACAGCTCTATTGCACTCTCACCTCCCGACCTTTTGTATTAAAAAGCAAAGGAGTCAATGGAAACCAACTCGGTGTTGGGATGCTTCGTGTACCGATGCTTCCAGATGGTTGGAAGTTGGAACTAGGTCGGTGTTGTGTTGTTCGACCAAAGTTAGAACCCGCAAGAGATGCGTGGCGTGGCCCCTTCTTGGGGAAATCCAAACACGTCCCTTTCGGGAGAGAAGAGCCGAAGAACCGCTTCATGGCTTGCGGTCAAGAGCAAATTGATCAAGAGCTCCGGGGCCCCTTTTGTTCCGCGAATCCGGCTCAGCACTTTGTAAGATTTCATAAGCCATGCCGAGGCACGTCACAGTGACTCCCCAAAGATAAAGCAGCAGAAGCGCCCAATGTCACGCAACAAGCTGAGCCCATCTACGACTGCGTTGTCCGGGAGTTCTCCTGTTCGGCTCCGCCGGTGGCCGACGTCCGGCTCCGCTCCGCGACCCGCTCCGCGACCCGCTCCGCGACCCAGCCGAGCGCGTTCCGTTCCGCGCGATCCGCGCGACGAGGAGCTGGTGCAGAGAGGTTGCCGCGTGCACTACTTCTTGCCGCCCGTGGAGGCGATCCGCCAAGCCGCCAAGGACCGACACATGTGACGTCGTGAGACACGATCCGCCAAGGGGGAGCGGTTCGGTGAGCGGTGAGCTCGAGCTTGTGGTGTGCTGGGTGTGCTAGTGCTGAGATGGCGTGAGTCGTCTCACTATATGTGGGTCATGAAATGAAAAGAAGACTTGGAGCCACCAAAACACCTCCTGGCCCTTTTTTCTTTGTGGGCAGATTTAGTAGGTCGACGATTGAATCCACCACTTGCATCCATTTGTTGGTCTATGAACGTCTTATTTCAGTTTGGTCACCGTGACCTGACTCACTCAATTCCTGGAGAACAGGCCGCAAGGGGCAACAGGTTGAATGACAACGCGTGGTTCCTCGACCGCGAAAAGATCTACAATCTATATACTAATACTCTATAGCTGTTTACTATACCGCCAGTGTCATATTATTTCCAGAAAACAATATTTGACCCGAAACCTTCAGCGGACCATTCCTGATGACAAAGAACCCTATACTGAGCAACATGAGGTCCACCCTTCTCGGTCCAGCCGAGACTGCCGGGATGCCGGCAGTGCCCCGGGACCGCCAGGACTCGGGTGCTTTCGTTGAGAGCTACCAGCCAGATGTACAGGACCTGGTCCTGGAGCAATGTGGCACCCAGGAGATGATCGAGAAAAACCGCTTCACGTCTCTGTGTTCTTGAGCTTGGAAGTTTGGAGAAGGGCCATGCTTGGAAGGGATTGCGAAGTTTGTTGAGGTTTGGGCAGATCTGGCCGGTCTCGGGGAGACCCCAAAACCCCTCCAAAAGAGGGCCCAGGCACCTGGTCGTTGCCTGATTCTCACGCCTGGTCGTTGGAGTTGAGGAGCCACCGGCGGAGATCGACCCAGAGGAATTGGCGCTCTGGACCCGTGCCGTGTGGCCATTGGCCAGCACCTTGCTTTGTGGGGACTACATCTGCCGGCGCTGTGAGGAGCGGTGAACGGAAAAGGAGAAGAAGTCCGAAGACCATGAGGGTTCTTGTGATGTGGAGTCGCCTGGGGTGCCTTGACAAGCGGAATTGGCGCTTCATGCACTTGAACCACACAACAAGTACATAGAAGTACATGAAAGGCAGGTTCCTTTTGGCCAATATCACCCAAGTGCCATTTGCACTCCTTGAGTTTTTTCTCACCCAAACGCACTCCAACTCCCTCCGGCTCTCCAGACTGGCTCCCCTCCCCGCTCCGGTACGCCAGGAGCTGGGTGTCTCCGTGGTGCTCTACGACCCCATGACACCCCACGGGCTTTTGGTCGCCGAGAAGCTGAAGATCCCCAAGGTGCGCTGCGTCACACCGAGCGTGGCGGTTTTGGGCTTGGGAAGAACGCACTGAGGGGGTGGCAGCGAGAACACGAGTGGGTTTGGACACAGGCAGAGAGGCATACTTGTATATGATGTAGGGTGAATGGTGGTGGATGTGGTCCTTGGATGCATCTCCTTGACTCTCACCTCCCAACAGGTCCGTTTCCTCCCGGTCTTGTTGCTCCGGCCGCCGCTCCAGGCGTCGCTGGTGACCTACCCGGGCATGGGAAGCTTGTCGGAGCTGATGAGTCACACCGAGCGGCTGCAGCGAGCGGCGGAGATCCGGAAGCCCTTGGGGGACGAGATCCAAAAGGTCTTTGGAGTGGACCTTCAGGCCTGGGGAGCTGGGGCGAGAGGAGATGGCGGGGAGAGGGGGAGATGGGGCGAGTAATGAGTAATTCGTTTGGACGGAGAGCGGTGATGGGTAGGGAAGAGAAACGAAGACAGGACCTGGTGTGAGGCTGTAGAGCAGATGACAGAGAGCTCAAGCAGAGATGTAGGTATTGCGTAGTATCTAGGAGCTGGCAGGTAACGCAACCATGTTGAAATTAGACGATGGATCGTTGAATCATTTGAGAAGTTTAGGATAGGTCAGGGATTTCCAACAACAGATGCAACCTCTACTTGATTCTTGCTTTGATCAGATGTCAAGGACTTTAAACAGCTCCCTCGTGGCGTTTTCGATGGGACTGACGCTTTTGAAGTCCCAGAAACACTCGAACCAGTTTCAGTGCTTTGTGCCTTGGTCGTGTGTGGATTGAGGTAGATTTGTCTTGCTGGTTTGGGCTGTTCTTCTCAACCAATGATCTGATTCCAGCCTCACATTGGGCCAATGATGGGTTTCTTCTCCAACACTTCGCCGGAGAGTCAACATTCGCAGGGCACTATCCAACACGTTTGCCACTCTCAACATTCCCTGTTGCTTTCACAGCCATGTTTCAAAATGCAAAACGCCGTTCAACCATTCTCATCCTGACCGTCCTCGACCGGGCTCGACCGGGACCGGCCGTGTGTACGTGTCGCCGGGTCTGGCCGGATGGCGAGGTCGAGCTGTTGACACGACGGCAGTATTATGCACCTGAGCCCGAAAACGGCAAGCGTCTGGATGGAGGTGGAGGGTCAATAATTTGAGGGTCCAAGTATGCAGGACGAAGCAGAACTTGCAAAGATTTGAGCTACTTGACAAGGAGCTATGAGGATCGTGAGGTATGATAGACCTTCAATATGAATCAATTTTGGCACTTTTGGATGTCGTTTCATGTTAATGAGTTTGTACAGGGATCTGAAACTAAGAGTGTGATGCAGTGATGACCGCGGCGCGTGTCCGCCAGCGTTGCGGATGTTTTTGCCTGGCCATCACATGTCTGTTGCCTTAAGATCCTCAAGGTTCCAACTCTGTGGCACAACTAATCAGATCGTCCTGGTGCAAGAGGACACCATTGTTGATAGTAGCAACATCAACAGTACCTTTCCGGAGAAAGGGAACATACTTAAAGCTCAGTCCCCCCCATGTGACTGCGAAATTCGATTCAATCAGATTTCCAACATGTCAGCGCTGGTCCCTGTGGAGTCTTGGACTCCTGAAGTCTTGGAGCTTCAATTATAACAAGTTGATGCGTAGAACCATGGAAGTCCTATGAAGAGCCATGGAAGTCCTCAATCAACTTGGGAATTATATAGAACCTTTGAAGGCCGTCGACTCGTTGATGCGCGACGTTTCTTTTTGCGCTGCGAACATCATCGTTTTGCACCTCGACCGACCTAAGACCTTTTGTAGTTCCCAGTCGGAGCGACGGTCGCCACTGCGCAAAAACCGCTTGCGGAGCGACGAAACCTTTCAGACTCGACTGCACCTTCGGAGGCGTTGGGTGGTGTTTTCGCCGAGGCACCCATGAACTTCATCACCACTTGCGAGGACCTGGTGGCGCCCCTTCCGGAGGATGCGCCTTGGGCAGAGGAACTTCGCACTCACTGCAGCTTCATTCCGGTCGGGTGCCTGGTAAGTGCTCGTGCGCCACACGTGATCACCGCGCGGTCCAACGGGCAGGCAGAGATGGATGGGTTGGGGTGCTTGGGGTGGTTGGGCTGGAGAGAGGAGTTGGGTGGGGGGTAGGGGTTTCCTCTTCTGTTTCTTTTTTCGGTACGTTTGTAAAGTCATTTGTTGGGAGGGATCAAAACCAAAAGATGAGGTGCTGGGGGTCAAATTCAGGGCAGTTGTGAAATTCCTGGTGCGGTCAAGAGTGCTGTGTAGGGTGCTCTCTTTCTGGTGCTGTCCAACAGCATACCTGCCCGACCTGGCAGTTGCTGCTCAAATCGCTGGGCCAGACAAGAACCCTGAACCAGAACGACGTCCCTTCCAGAACCGGCCACGGCACAAAAAGAACATGTAGACTTGTGCCT